GCTTGATGTCTTTTTATTTTTATAAATAAAATAAATGTGTTTATGTTATGTGTTGTCTATGCCTGCTTTATTTTACAGTGGCAGACTTGAATTGTTGCTTAGTAAAGACAATCTGACCTAAAAAATCTAAAACAAGTCCATTAGCTYGTAAGTAGCAATACAGTGAGTCATTTTTGTCTGAGTGAAAAATTATGATGTTAACTCAGAGACTCAGTCACCATTCATGGTAATAAGGAGTGCTAAGAAATTAGAACTGTTCTTAAAKATTTTCTCTCTTTAAAATCTAATATATTCATTGACATAGCACTGTGAACACAATACCTATCACTGTCAGAAGTGTAAGCATTGTTAGGTTAGTCATATAGCTGTATGAGGTTTTCTAGTAGTCTTCTAAAAACCATTTTATAAATTTTATTGCCCGTGTATCTCCTTTTGTTCTTGTAGTCCCTTCCTACCCTAAAAGTAATATTAGGAAAGTGAGAAGTCAGACAGTGTATCAGGATTAGACTTTGAGAACACAGAATGAACAGAAGGGGTTAGAGGTCAAAGAACAAAAAGTTATTGAAGAAATTGAAGAGGCTATCTTTGTTATTGATACTTGGATGGTTAGGACARCCCTAGAGATGATTTGTCCTTCTGGAAGCCACTTCCTTCCAATGTACATAGTTATCTTTAGAAACGTGAAAGTGACATCAAGAATGAAAGTAGGAGTTTCTTAGGTGAATACTGTTCTTTAAATTCTTGATGTGCTCCTCTTTGTGTCAGGTGATTAGGATTTCTGTTGATAACACAAGTTATAGAATTCCATTATGTTAACATGTCCTTTATCAGTATTTACCAGTGTTTATTTAGAATTTTCTTCTGTGCCATTCCTGGTTTCAGGCAAATGATCAAGTGTCATTGGTCTTTAAATCAGTATCTGATTTTACTGATCCTCCTGATGCTCAACTGTTTATTTATTGGCCTGAGGTTACTTTGAAATTCTCCTAGTTTAAAAAAAATGATTTTGTATAATTAAAATTTTTTGAGTTTTTTAGACAGCAGCATTCATTTAATATTCAAAAATGAAAATATTCCTTTTTTTTCTTTAGAGATGCTATCTTATGGCCAATATAGTTTTTTGTAAGTCTGAAATTCCAGTTTCCAGTCTTGTGTGTGTGTTGTTGTGTTGTTTTGTTTTGTTTTGTTTTTGTCAGAAATTGATTTTCTTTTATTAAGTCATAAGAAAGCCCTGTCAGGTATAATTATGAACTGGAAGTTGAATCGTGATGAGATGGCTTTAGTTTACAATCAGAATTCACAGGAAAAGGGCATATTTCATTGATGTTCTGCTTTCTGCCTAGTTTGTATTCATCAGAAATAAAGATTTTTTAAAAATATTTTTTAGTTATAGATGGATGCAATATCTTTACTTTGTTTATTCATTTTTATGTGATGCTGAGGATCAAACCCAGTGCCTCACATGTGTGAGGCAAGCGCTCTGCCACAACCCCAGCCCCCATCAGAAATAAAATTTAATTTGAAGTATTTTTCTTAATGCCAGACAGTATTAAAACAGCATTATAATAAGGGTACATTTTACTTTGAATCTAAAGTTTAAATATGATTGTAGATTTGACATCAAATAAGATAGAAACATATAAATTTAAGATAGTCAATTTTTATAAAATCGGTAGCAATATTTCTGTTTCAGTTATTTTTGAAGCTGCCTTTGATAGATTATCATATTTGTACACTAAAATATTAATATTCTAAGTTTTTCACTTTCAGTTTTTCAGTTTTTTTTTTTTTTCAGTATTTCAGTTTTTTTCTTTTTTTGCTTGTTTGTTTTTGTTTTTGGTACTAGAGACCCAGGGTCACTTAACACTGAGCCACATTCTCAGCCCTTTTTATTTGTGACAGGGTTTGGCCCTTTTTAATTGCTTAGGGCCTTGCTTAGTTCCTGAGGCTGGCCTTGAACTTGTGATCCTCCTGCCTTAGCCTCCTAAGCTGTTGGGATTACAGGCATGCACCATCGCACTTGACAGCTTGGGGTATGATTTTTTTTTTTCTAATTTGTTTATCTTCTAAATAAAATTGGTACTTCTGAAGTGCTGTCAGGTACCATACCCAAAGATAAAGGAGGACATGGAATTGTTCTTTTGCAGTTAAGTTGGGATCACACCACGAAGCCTGGCTACAGTGTTGAGTATGTTCTGACAAGTGCCATTAAAAATCTGAATGTATTCCTAAAGTTGAGTCAGCAGACATAAGCTTCTTAAGGAAGAAAATAAGCACAGTTGAAATCGTGTATCTCCATTAAAGTCATTGCCTCCCTTTTCTTAGACATGTTTTATGCTTCTATTTAAATTTATGAATTTTATAACTTTTATATAAGTTTAAAACTAAGCCTGTCTATATGAAAGATAAGTTGTAGTAAAATGACAATATTCTTTTACTGTTTAATTTGAAAATTATAACTACCGGTGGTTGATTTTAGTTATATATAAAAACTATTCTTAATAATACTTAGGAATACTTAGAACTAAGAACAGTACTTGTTACTAAAAATCCTATGGAAAGCTTAAATACTCAGGATACTGCAATGGTTTAAGTAGTTTCTGTTGAATCCAGAATTRTTTCTAAAATACACGTAAGTTTTATGTTACAGCTCATAAGTGAATGCATTCCACTCTTACTAAACTTCATACACACAAGCCAAGTCCTCCCTGCTTTTGGTTGATCTGTGATTTAGTCAATTAACAGAGGTTTGTGATTCTTATGCATTTTTTTGCAATCTGATTTTGATCAAGCGTTTTTTCCTATTAAGTTTAATTATGATAGCACAGCCAATCTTTGATTATCTATGATGAATTAGAATATAGTAGTATATTGAAAAATTACAATTTAAAATTTCAATTCAGCTGGTATTTTTACTTACACACACACACACACACACATGTGTGTATGTTGTAGGTGGACACAATACCTTTGTTTTTGTGTGATGCTGAGTATTGAACCCAGTGCTTCACAAATGCCAGTCGAGCACTCTACCACYGAGCCACAGCCTCAGCCCTACTTAATTTTTATTTACTAATAATTTCTTCATCCCCCCTCTATCACTCAGGGAAACTTTCAGTAATGCTTGAAAGAAGCAGGCAAATTGAAAGCTTGTATTATTTAATTTTTGTTCGATTTTCTGGTTTCTGAATGACTCATGAATAGAAAACCAGGGAATAGACATCAGGTTGGGTAATCCATATGTTGAATAATCCTTCCTTAAAAAAATACAGCAATGAACTCAGTATTCCATTGAAAGCTTTTTTTTTTTTAAATTTAGGAGTACATTTTTCTGACAAAGAAAATGTTACTATAGAAAGCACCATGTAAAATAAATTTTTACATATACTAACTCATGACCCATAGAAAGTACTGAGTCTTTTATTGAGTTATTTTTCTGAGTATAGTCCTTTTAAAGAATGAAGTAATGGTTAAAATGTTCTGTAAATCCTTACTATGTTTAGGGTCCTTTTAGTGTAAGTCTTTGAAGTACTATGCTTATTCTATTTTGCCCCAGTGTCCTAGATGTGGCATTGCTCTAAAAACATAAAATTTAGCAACAGATATACAACTTAAGATAACTTTGAAATAATATTTGGATATTTTTTATCTCCTCAGAATTGAAAACTTAGGACTTGGGAAATTTTAAAAAATCCTTATTATATACTGTTTGCATTGTAGGCATGGAAAAAATCTGACTTTTAGCTCTGCCATCAAATTGAAATTGCCCTTTGAATCCTCATATYTATAACCTTAGTAATTCCAACTAGTGAAACAAAAAACCTTATAAATACTAAAACAGCTTGGACTAGACCCAGTGGTTGCAGAGTTAATATACTTCATTTCATTGCTTTCCTGGAAATTTATATTAATTTATTTAATCATTGATACAGCACCATAGGTCTTCAAGAATGCATTTCAGGCATTGTCCAGAATTTTGTAAAATTTATTATCAGAAACCATATTGTTCTATAAAGTTCATTTTAAGCCAACTGGATCTTTGTTGTTGTTATTGATATTTATTTATTTATTGTAAGAGAGTAAGGCATACTATTTAAGAGAGGACCATGTTGATAGGTGTAGGGACCACTGTAACTGTGTCTTTCAGTGGGTAAGAGAGACTGGGCTTAGCTCCTGAGACCTGTTGTTTTTTAAAAATCTACATTTATTTATAATCAGTTTAATTTCTAAACCTTTTATCGGTTTGTAGTGATCTTTGGCTATAACAGTTACTCTTCCTACATTCTTCATAGAAACCTTATGGTAGAATCTTCCAACTAAAAACATTCATTAAATAGTTAATGCTAACATTATTATAACTCATTCAGTTCACCTTAACACATTTCATTTTTTCATTAAAAAAAAAAAAAAGGCAACCAACAGATGGGTTATGGTGACTCAGGCCTGTAGTCAAATATTTGGGATGCTAAGGCCAGAAGATCACAAGGCTAAGGCCTGCTCCAACAACTTAGAGACACTGTCTCAAAGTAAAATTTTAAAAAGAGGTGGGGATATAGATAAGAGGCAGAACACTCSTGGATTCAATCCCTAGTATCACACCAAAASCAAAAAGTTTTATTAAAGATTGAACTGTCTCAAAATTTAAGCAGCTTTATCGAGCCGTTTACCTCTTCCAGTGAGTGGTTAGGTGACTGTTAAACATTAAATTATTTCATATGGTTACTTGAATGTATTTACAAGACTCTGCTGGTAGGAAAAAAGAGAAAGCTGACTTACATCTCTGACTTTTAATATCTGGTTATATGTTGGCATTTTTATAATATAGCCTAATATTTCTTTTCAGTTTATATCATACTGAATTACATGCAGATCATTCTTTTTTAAATATTGGAAAAAGTTAATAGTACTTTTTAAAGGTAAAAAAATATGCAATTTAGTATATCATGAAGCAGAATTTTTGAGTATTCTAATGGCTTTTTAAAAATTAATTTATTTGCTAGGTAAGTTCTCTTCTACACTCTATGAGACTGGTGGCTGTGATATGTCACTTGTGAATTTTGAACCAGCAGCAAGAAGAGCATCTAATATCTGGTACGTGGGAAGACATATTAAGAATGTGTATGGGGGCTGGGGATGTGGCTCAAGCGGTAGCGCGCTCGCCTGGCATGCGTGTGGCCCGGGTTCAATCCTCAGCACCACATACCAACAAAGATGTTGTGTCCGCTGAGAACTAAAAAATAAATATTAAAAATTTAAAAAAAAGAATGTGTATGTATTTGCACATACTTGCCATGTTTAAAGATTTTAAGCCTTGAGATAAAAAGACTGGCTTAAAAAAATTTTTTTGAATTGACAAAATGGTGTACATATGATGTACATATGATGTTTTAAAATCTTGGTACATTATGAAATGGCCAAATCTAGCTGACATATGCATTATATCACATACCTATCTCTCTCTCTCTTTTTTTTTTTTTTTGTGGTGAGGACACTTCAGATCTTCTCCTAGTGATTGTTAAGTATACAAGTATATTTAATATTAACTATAATCATTATGTTAGATATAAAAGTTATTTTGAAAATATATTTGTATTGACTTTAATAATTTGTCATAGTGCCTTGCTTTCAAAAGAATTAAGGTTGAAGGATTTTTGCTATGGAAGAAAGAAAGCATTATTTTAAAAATAAAAACTATTGGGCTGGGGTTGTGGCTCAGTGGTAGAGCATTTGCCTCTCATGTGTGAGGCACTGGGTTTAATTCTCAGCCCTGCGTATAAATAATTGAATAAAATAAAGGTCCATCAACAACTAAAAAAATATTTTAAAAACCTATTATATATTTAAAAATTAAWGCAAAATTTTCTGTAAATCTTATGTAAGACATCATTTTCCCACAGTTTCAAATTTAAGCATACATATCATGTTCTCTATATGTTTCATGATGAAAAAAAGCTTATTAGAAAAATATTTACATACCTAATTTTATACTCTTCAGTTGTCGTTTTTATGTAATTTTAGAATTTTATTTCCAAGTAAGAGTTTGGTCAAAAGCTTTTTAAAGTAACTAATTTTTATTTTGTATGTATGTATGTATTTATTTATTACTTACTAGCTTTCAGGAGGAACTTCTTAAAATTTGTTTTATATATTACACTTAGTTTCTTAGGAGGAAATTTGTAAAGTAATGAAGTAGTTAAATGACAAGCAGATAAATTAGGAATCTGGATCGGATTACAATCAATTATAGTTTTAGAGTATATTAATATTCCATTTTCTAAAATTTTATTGTTTATCTGACTCAGATTTCTGCTTTGAAATCCATTATTGACTAATTAGTTCACTTTTCTTGCTAGAGTCATTAATTCCTATTTAGGACTTCCATTTAATGATGGGACATATTTATTTATACATTATTCAGCTTTGGGCAATTTACTTATTTTTTGAGTTTTGAGGGGCCACTTAAAGCAGTTGGATCTTCTGATTGTTCAATTCAGCATGTTGGTTCAGTCCAGTTACAGAATTCATCCTGTCAAAATTGAACGGTTACATTCTATGCTATTTTATACTATAGCCTAAATTTAGTTTGTCTTTAATGATTCCAGGAAATTTGTTAATTGCTTTCTTTGGATTATCTCATTTAAACACATTCACAAGAACCTTGTGATATGGGTGCCATTGTCTTGTTACTGATGAGGAAACTTGAGGAATAGAGAGTTTAGCTAACTTGTTGGAGATTTCCCTCTCTGAAGAAGATATTTGAACTTAGACACTCTGCCCCAAACTCTGTGCTCTTACTCACAACTCTAGGAAAATGCCATTTTGTATTTTGAAGTTTACATGAAAAAAGAAGATAATGTAAATATCATCTAATTGTTTGGGAGTTTATTTTGTTTTTCACTATTTGACAAACTATTTATTCCCTAAAGTCTCTTTCATTTTATTTTAGTGACACGGATTCTCATGTATCCAGTTCTACCTCAGTTCGATTTTATCCACATGATGTGGTAGGTTTTTTTTTTTTTAATTTTATAACATCAGATATTTTATCCAAAAAATAGACCTAAATAGATACTACAAAAGTCAGAAAAATTGATGAAGTCACAAATGTCAATATTTTTGAAAACTATGTCCAAAATCATCTTTACTGCCCCACAGAGAATCTCTTCAAATAAGTCCTTAGATACAAAACAAACAGTACATCATAAAATTTAAAAGCATCCACACTTGTGAATCAGCAATTATCCATTTGCTAACCAACATCATAGTATGATTGTGCCATTTGACAACCTCACTTTATATATGATTTTGTGTAGTTGTTTAACTGTTGGTTTAACTCTTAGGCACCCTGATAACAATTATGTGTGTGGAATAGTTAATAATGACCATTTTATATAAACTGTATTATGCCACATGAGATATAATGAGGAATTTTTAAAGTAACACAGCTTTTACCATCAAGATATATATATATATATATATATATATATATATATATATATTGGAAAAGACAATACAGATGAAATACTTACAAACGCAATACATAAATAAACATACGGATGAATTTAGTGCCAGAGGGATTAATTTTTAATGTCTTCTTGAAGATAAACTGTGATCAAGGTTTTTAAGACTGTAGATGTAAATTAATATAGAACAGTGGTTTTCAACTAGTGACTATTTGGCAGTTTCTAGAAATATTTTTTCTTGTCACAGCTGGGCACACACTCTTGGTGTCTAGTGGATGGGGAGAGAGATCTTGTGAAACATGTCGTGGTGGATGGCCCACTACCCAGATAATCTTGACCCAAAATGTTTATAGTGCCAAGGTTGAAAAGCCCTGGCATAGATGATAAGTAAAATTTGGGGAAGTATCTTTGAATGTTTAGAGATCGAAATGACTGTTACATATGGAAAACAAGTTTTCTTCAGTATATGTATTTGAAAACAAAGACTGTTTCTACTTTGTGTATTCCTGGAAACTCTACAAGAAAGCAATAATGAGAAGATGATCATATTATTGTTTTTCACTTTTAAATGTTATGGGGAATTTGAGATAGCAAAATGCTGCCTAGTGCTGTGCCAGAGACGGTAAAATTTAATGCTTTCAGAGGAAGGGAAAACTGGTAAACTGGTTGGTGAACAGATGAGCTAAAGCTAAAAGAAATGTAGTGTACCAATTTCCTGCATAGTCTTCTTTGAAAGTAGTAATAGTCATAATAAGAAGTCTATAGGAAGATATGAGAGTTGAAGGGCTCAGATTTGCCTCTATCAATGAAGTTCTTAGCTGAGATCGGCATAAATGTGACAGGGAGCAAAGAAGCCACTTATGATTCACCGCAAGTGCTTTTGATGGATTCATTGGTTAGACATCATAAAAATCTAGAGATTTCTACAACTTTTTAAAATAAAACCTTTCCAAAAGGTTGTTGATGATAAGGTTTTTTTTGTTTTGTTTTAGTTCACTTTCTATTACTGCCTTGTGTGGTTTTCTAATGACCGTAAAGTTTTCACAGGGAGTGGACTAGAGTAGAAAATTAAGGAGCTGAGATAATCTACAACCTGAGTGAGTAACTTTCTAGTCATTATCAGATTAGATACTTTAAGCCTTTCAACACTGACTTTCTTTTAGCTTTCTCTCCCGCAGATTCGGTTGAATAGGCTGTTGACCATTGATACAGATTTGTTGGAGCAACAGGACATTGATCTGAGTCCTGACTTGGCAGCCACTTATGGTCCAACAGAAGAAGCTGCCCAAAAGGTTAAACACTATTACCGCTTTTGGATCCTGCCCCAGCTGTGGATTGGCATTAACTTTGATAGACTCACACTTTTGGCGCTGTTTGATAGGTGAGAATATAGTGTGATATTAAAGAGACGAAAAATTTTTATTTCTAAGTTAAAGTGTTCTTAATGACCCATTGAGTTTTTTTTTTTAACCTGATTATTATGTTGGAAAATGTTTTCTATTTTTGTTCTTTTGAGGTAAAACTTAAGGTAATAGAGCTTTCAAACATTGAATCTCTTATGTCCATTGAAAACTTTCCTTTTAATTTTAATAGACTAATGTAAAAATATATTTATTATTATCAGTAAGACTCATATAACTGATATTTAAAAGACAGTTTGTGAAATGATGATTTTAAGGTTATAGGTAATATGATTCTATGTGTAAATGTTATAAGAGGAAGTTTATGTTTCTTACCACTACTGTCTTAGTGGTAAACACAATAGTCTGTTACAATTTGACAGCTGCTTCTTCCAGTCAACATGAAGTAATAGGACTGGATTTACCCTCCCAGGTAAAACAAATGAAAACAGACAAAATACATGAAAAGTGGTCTTCAAGACATTAGAGATCAGACAGCAAAGGACATTGATCCTTGAGAGATAGGAAACAGATAATATGAACCTACAGTTGCCCCAGCTTAGTGCTTTAAGAGAGCTCCTAGGCTATGACACAGGGAGTGGGAACTGAAAAACATCAAGCAGTTTCCTCAGTTGAAGAGTTGGAGCTTAGGTCCAGGACCTGAAAGCAGCTGGATAGCATATCAGAGAAGAGAGAGCTGTTCAGAGAGATAAACCTCAGTTCTGTAGTGGGTGCTTTTGACTGTTCAGCAGAGTTTTGATAAGTTGGGGAACCATTAGTTCAGGGAAAGCACTACTTTTGACTCACCTAACAAGTCATGAAAGCAAGACCTAAAGGAGGTCATGCTGTTTCTGGGTAGCAGAACAAATTAAGAAGACTGAAGTTAAGTTTTCACGTCTGACACCCAAAGATGACCTGGTTTGCAAAGAAGTAAGAAAACATGACTTAAAATAAGGAGAATAATAAACCATTTGAGACCAGCCTGTTAGTAGCACAGATATAAAGAATTAGCAGCAAGGACATTAAAATGTTGTAACTGTATTCTTTTTGTTAAAAACATTTGAGACATGGAAGATATAAAAAAATAAGTCAAAAATTATATTTACAGAGTAAAGTATTACAGTGAGATTTTAAAAATACACTAGATGTGATTAATGGTAGGTTACAAATTGTAGAAGAAAAGATTAGTGAACTTGAAGGCATAGCAAATAGAAATTATCCTGAATGAAATATCCAAAAAGAATTCTCCCTATTCTAATCCCCCAATGAAAGAGCATACAAATAAAAATAGGAATAAGCTGTGGGAGAACTTCAAGAGGACACAAGGAGACAGAAAAGATTTTGAGGAAATAATAGGTATAAAATTTACCAATTTTGATGAAAACTGTAAATATACATTTAAGAAGCTCAGTAGAACTCAGGCCATAAGAAGCATGAAGAAAACTATGTGAAGGCACATAATTGCTCAAAACCAATGATAAGATATTAAAAACTCTAAGAAAGAATATTCTTTGTGTGAAGGAATGAGGATAAGGAAGACATCAGTTTTATTTTGGGGAGTAATGCAAGTGAGAAGACAGTGGAACAACATATTTAAAGCATTGAAATCAGGAAAAGAAGTCAACCTAGAAATTTATAGCCAGCCAGAATATCTCTTAAAAACCAAGGAAAAATAAAGACATTTTCAAACTAGGAAGAATTGGGAGAATTTTTCATGAGCAGACCCACCCTACAAAAAACATTGAAAGGTACCTTGCAGGCAAGGGGAAAAGGATAGCAGATGGAAATACAGGTTCATTCAGAGGAACTAAGATCACTGGACATGGTAAGTAACTACTCGGGAAATAAGATTTTCTTTCTAAATGAGTTAAATCTCTTTAAGAGATAATTGTTTAAAAAGATAAATAACAATGAATTGTATGGTTATTATTATTCATGACAGTAATAGCATAAAGGCTGGAAGGAAAAAATGGAAGTATACTACTTTAAGTTTCTTATGCAGTGTGTAAAGTGGTATATCATTACTTGAAGGTAGAATTTCATAAAGTATATATTAAAACTCTAAAGCAACTACTAAAATAATGAAAAGTTCTAATTAACGTGAGAAAAATTTAAAATGTATTAATAAGACTAGTAAAAATCAAAAAGGGATCAAAGAACACATGGGTTAATTAAAAAATGATAAGGTGAGAGTCAAAAAGTAAAAAATTGTCAGATTGGACTAAAAAAGCAAGACTCAACTGTGTTGCCTACAAGGAATATACTTTAATTATGAAAAGAAAAAATAGGTTAAAAGTAAAAAAGAAAAAGGTGCAGCATGCCAAAACTAACAAAAGAATGCTGAAATGGCTGTAGTAATGTCAGAGTAGATTTCAGAGCAAAGAACATTGCCAAGGATAAAAAATGTGATTTCATGATGATAAGGGGACAATTAACCTGGAGAAATTAGCAATCTTGAATGTTTCTACACCTAAAATAAATTCTCAAAATACATAAGAGCTGGCACGATAGCTGAGTGATAAGTGTATGCTTAACATACAAAGCATCATGTTCAGTCCCTAGCCCCCCAAACAAACTGTAAGCAAAGTTCATAGAGCAGAAATAGACAAACATGCAATTTTAGCTGATTTCAGCTCTTCTCTTTGAATAATTGGTAGAATAATATATAAAAATCATTTAGTCAGCTTTCTGTTGCTGAGAGAAAATAGCTGAGTTAATCAGCTTATAAAGAGGAAAGATTTTGTTTTGGGTCACGGTTTTAGAGGTTTCAGTTTATGATCACTTGACTCTTCATTTTTTTAAGCCTGTGTCAAGGTTGAGCTTACGGTGAAGGAATCTGCTCACCTCATAGCAGCCAGAAAGCAGAAAGAGAAATAGAAAGGGGCTTTGGTCACAATATTCCCTTAAAGGAATATTTCTTCTACTAGGCTCCACCTCCCAAAAGCACCATAGGCTGAGGAACAATCATTCAACATAGTACCTTGGGAGACATTCAGAATCCAGCCTATAGCAGTGAGGATATGGTAGACTTGAACAATATTATCAACCACCCTGAGCTGATTGACATTTATGCAACACTCCACCCATAATGAGCTCCATATTCTTTAATTGCTCATGGAACATTACCAAAATAGACCATTTTCTGGGCCAAAATGGAAAGGTCAATAAATGTTAAAAGAATTCAAATCATATAGTATGCTCTTTGACTACAATGAATTTATGCCGATGTCTTGGGGCGGGGGGGCACCAGAATCAGGAGCCACCACACAGCTTTGTAGGTTCAAACAGCAATTCTTTATTCCCGATCTCACACCAGCCTCCACACACGTTCAGGGGCAGTTCCAATATGTCCGATCCCAAATCCTATTCCAGGAGGCTTTTTCCAAATCCCATTTGAATCTCAGGAGAACTCAACGGGAACAAGCAGCAGGAACACCCTAATCCCAGCAKCAATAATCTTCAACCTCAACTTCCCTAAAACTCCTATTGTCCTAACTCCTAAACCCAAGGACGGGGAAACTTCCTGCAGGAATACACCCTAATCCTGGATCCACCCTGGTGATTGAGCAGGGTCACCTTTCTCAAACACACAAGCAAGGTCGCAGCAAATTTCCAAGGCAAGTCCATTTAACATGGGGTACACTGGCAAGGATTACGATGCGTCATACCTACTTGGTAATGGCCCTCAGCAAATTTACATTATAAATAAATAACAAAAAGGACTTTGGAAAATTCTCCTATATTTGGAAACTAGTACTTTTGAATAACCCATGGACTAGAGAAGAAATCAAGCGGGAAATCAGGAAGTATTTTGTACTGCATGAAAATAAAAATAATGTATCTCAATTTTGGTGATACCTTTAATGCCATACTTGAGAAAATTATAGTATTAAATACCAACATTGGAAAAGGAAGGTCTCAAATCAGTGACTTTGCTTTCTACTTGTATTGTAGGAAACTAAAAGAACAAAAGCACAATAGGCCCAAGTAAAGAGAGAGAAAAAATAGTAAGAGATGAAATAGTTCATAGGGGAAACAGAAAAACAGTAGAACAAATGAAGCCAGCCTGACAAGAAAAAAAATAATACAAATTACCAATATTAGGAATGTGAAATATAACTACAGATCTGCAAGTATTAAAAGAATGATAAGAGAATATTATGAATAGCTGTGTGTAAATAAATTTGACAGTGGACACATGTATAATGGACAGATTCTTTAAAGATATAAATTATTAAAGTTCAAAAATACATAATCTTAATGGTCTACTGTGTACTTAAATAAATGGAAATTGTAGTTAAAAACCTTCCTACAAAGAAACTTCCAGGTCCAGGTGGTATCGAAGTAATATCCAAATCTATGACATGAAGAAAGGATAGTCTTTTTTTTTTTTTTTTTGAAATTTTAATATTTATTTTTTAGTTCTCGGCCGGACACAACATCTTTGTTGGTATGTGGTGCTGAGGATCAAACCCGGGCCGCACGCATGCCAGGCGAGCGCGCTACCGCTGAGCCACATCTCCAGCCCGAAAGGATAGTCTTTTCAACAAATGATGCTAGAACAATTGGATTGTCATATGCCCCCCTCCCCCCCAAAAAACAAATAAAAGTAATAAAAAATTGTATGCTAACCTTGTACCATATTATAAAAATTAATTTAAAATTGATCATAGACCTACATGTTAAGCCTAAAACAATAAGAATTCTAGAACAAAACAAAGCAGGGGAAAATTTGGTTTAGATTTCTTACCAGTGACAACAAAAACAAGATCAATAAAACAACAACAACAACACAAAAAACTAAATGATAAATTGAATTCATCAATGTGGAAAAATATTTTAAATCCAAAGAAAAGCACACATCCAATTTACAAGGAAGAGAGTATGCAGGGTGAGACAAGGATTGAAAAGGTCGTTGGATTGGGCAAATCTGGAGTTACTTACTTGCCTTCTCAGATCAAGTGAAAATGTCAAAAAATGATTGATTTGAAAATATTGTTGAACATTTTTAGCTTGGTAGAACTATTAAGTGAAGTGATAGAGAGGTGTTTGTGAATTTTTTTATCCCAACTTATTTTAAACATAGCATTGAGTTAATAAAAAATTGATTAAAATTGCTCATGATTATGAAAGTAATTCTTCACCCCAAAGACAATTTTGTAGATAGAAATGGGCAAACCATAATCACTCCACAGAGAGTGAACCATTATTAGTAAGATCATTTTTGGTATCTTACCATTTTTAACCTATATTTGTGTTTTTTAATTACAGAACTTGTATCTTCCTATACATCTGGTTTTGTATCCTACTTTCTTCATATAGCAAATGTGCTGAGCATATTTCTGTGTCATTTAATGTTCTTTAAAGAATTGGTTTAACATTTTGCAAATAAAATATCCCCAAGAAGTAATGAGATAGATTTTTAGTTTTTTTTTTTTTTTATTTTTTGGTGTAGCATCAAAATCACCTTCATTGCTATTTGTTATATCTTGGGCATCATATTGTTTCTTTTACAGTGTCAGTTTGCTAAAGTATAGAATTGTCTGAGCAACTTTGATAGAGGCAGAATTGATGGTCTTTGTCACTACCTTCATTCTCAAGATACGTAAGAGCCTGTATTTAAGTAATTCTAGTAAGTGAGTTTTTGGATTATTTCAGATGACTGAGAGATGGGGAAAATGAAACCACTTGATATCAAAATTTGGTTACAAACTTTGTCATATAAAATCACAGATATTTAAAATTTAATTTTCTAGAAATTATTTTGAGATTTTGCCTTTTAAACTTAACTTATTTCTTAGTAAATCTGCTTTATTTGTCTTCCAAATTGGTTAGGTATCTTGCAACAAATTTGATGGAAAAGCAGATTTTAATTTTTTTTTTTTTTTTTTTTTGGTGCTGGTGATTGAGCCCAATATTCAAATGCTCTACCTTTGAACTACGTCCTCAGCACCAGATTTTTTTAAAGTAAAGTTCTTTTAAATAGAACTTGAAATTTCAGTATATGTTATAATTGGAACTCTATAATTCACTATAGCATGTTTTGGATATTAAATTTTGTGCTGTATCCACATGAAACTAGTTTCTTTTTCAGTATGATGCAAAACTTTATTCAAACCCAGTACCCAAAAGACATCCCAGCAAGCTTCACTTTGATGTCTTCCCTTTTTTTTTAGTATGGTTGATGATATAYTTACTTATAAATTTTTCTGTCTACAGAAATCGTGAGATCCTGGAAAATGTGTTAGCTGTCATTCTGGCTATTCTTGTGGCTTTTTTGGGATCTATTCTTCTCATACAAGGCTTCTTCAGAGACATCTGGGTCTTCCAATTCTGCCTGGTCATAGCCAGCTGTCAGTACTCCCTACTAAAGGTACCAGTTTATTTTCTTTTCTTGCTGTGGAATAATATTTGCCTTAACAAAAAACAGACAGACTTCATACCATTCACCAAATTATAGTAAGATAATTTTTAATTTATTTTCCTTGGATGTTTGCATTAAATTATGTAGAAAACAAAAGGGGAATATGGATATAAAAATAATTACACATAAATTGAGTTTCCCAAAACTATTTCTTTGTAATTAAAAAAAAATTATTAAAAATAATATTTATTTTTTGGTTGTAGTTGGACACAATACCTTTATTTTGTTTATTTATTTATAAGTAGTGCTAAGGATTGAACCCAGGGCTTCGTACATGCTAGGCGAGCACTTTACTGCTGAGCCACAATCCCAGCCCCCTCACCCCCCAAAAAATTCTTAAAGTAAGAATTTGCCTTCTTGAGATTTACTTTTTAACTTTTCAACATAACTTTCTCTCTCTCTCTATCTCTCTCTCTCTCTCTCTCTGGTACCAGGGATTGAACTCAGGGTTCTCAACCACTGAGTCACATCTGCAGCCCTTTTTTGTATTTTATTTAGATCAGGGACTCACTGAATTTCTTAGCACCTTGATGTTTCTGAGGCTGGCTTTGAACTTGGGATCCTCCTGTCTCAGCCTCCCGAGCTGCTGGGATCATAGGTGTGCCACCATGCCCAGCTCCCATCTTTTCAGTTTTTTATTCTGTGGGTGAAATTTCTGTCATTGGTAGGTATAATAATGTGAAAGCCTAGTACATATGTTTTTGTTCTTTTGGGACATCAAAAGGTGAAGATTGTTGTCACGTTGTTATTATTTTAATAGTGGTACAAAAAAACAAAAATGAGAGGTGGGAGGGAAAGGGAGAGAGAAGGGAAATTGCATGGAAATGGAAGGAGACCCTCAGGGTTATACAAAAATACATACAAGAGGAAGTGAGGGGAAAGGGAAAAACAGTACAAGGGGGAGGAATGAATTACAGTAGTGGGGGTAGAGAGAGAAGAGGGGAGGGGAGGGGAGGGGAGGGGGCATAGTAGAGGATAGGAAAGGCAGCAGAATACAACAGACATGAGTATATCAATATGTAAAGCAATGAAGTGTAACTGATGTGATTCTGCAAGCTGTATACAGGGTAAAATGGGAGTTCATAACCCGCTTGAATCAAAATGTGAAATATGATATATCAAGAACTATGTAATGTTTTGAACAACCAACATTAAAATAAATAAATAAATAAATAAATAATTCAAATTTAAAAAAAAAAAACAAGATTTTATAAGCTTGTTAATTTTAAGCTTTTAAAAGAAATGGGAGAATCACATACACCAGCTCATGTACAATCAAAAATTTCTCCTTCCATTTAAAATAGTATGGGCTTTTAATATGGACTGTTTCTTTTCCTCAATTCCTTAGTATATGCCCTTTTCTTTGCATTGGTCATTTATCTTATATGTGTTCATATACAGAGCCCTCCCCCTCAACTGATAACTGTTGAGTTCTGTTTGTAGTATCGGCTGTCCTTTCTTTTTTCTCTCTCCATTTATAACTAGACATCTGGAGTAAGCACCTAGATAATCTGCTTCATTTCTTTAAGCTCCACCCATACTTCTTTCATCATTGCAGTACTAAAACTGCAGTCTGTGTGGTTGCTAATAATTATTCCAATTGTTAAATTTATGTCCTTTTCTCATCCCACTCTCTGYGGGGGCTGTATCATTTAACACCCGTTAATACTGCCTTCCATTTTCATGTCCTTTTTCCTGCTGCTCATTTCCAATGGTTCACATGTGCTCCAGTGACTCCCTTTGCCTTTGTTGGTGCCTCTTTGTTCCTTCAACCACTTTAATTTATGAGAATTCTCTTGGGTTTTATTTGACCCTCTTTGCAGTTAATAGTTTTTATTTGTGAAGTCAATTCTCTTTTATAAGTTTATTTGTTGCCTCCTTATGTGAGTTACATCCAGATTGATGTCTGCACCTCTTTCACAAGCTTATCTAATAGACAGTTGGACACATGTCAAAAATAGCACATTATCATCTCTTGATTAATATTTTCCTTTCTGAGTTTCTTAGCTTTTGACAGTGGTATACCAACTTAGAATCTTAGAACCTCTCTGCTCCTTCCTCCTTAATCCCTGGAAAACAAGTAACTGAATCCATTTGATTAAATTTGGTTATTCTATATTAAAATCATTGGTCTTTGTTCTTTCCTTTTATTTCAGCCACCTTAATCTATCTCTTTATTGCCTTAAACCATTAAATTCATTCAAATTTAAAAACTCTTGTCCTTTGCTTTCAGATTAATCTGGTTAAATAGGCAAAAGGTAAAAGGTGACAGAGTTTTTTTTAACTAGCCGACTAGAAGAATGACATAAGAGAAATTAGAAAGGAGGAAACAAAAGTTTTGAAAGAATAGATGTTAAAGTTGAAAGTACTGAAAGATTGCTTGGTGAGAGACAGAGACGGTGGGGTGGGAGAGAGAGAGAGAGAGAGAGAGAGAGAGAGATCGATCGATCCTGGAATTATAGGATGGTGATGGAATTTTTTGGTATGCCTTTGGAAATGAACTGAAATGTGGAAGAAAAGTTATATGTTTTGTCACTAAATTTTTTAAACATACTATTTTAAAAAATAATTATTTGTTTGTTTATTCATTTCTCTGATGCTGAGGATCAGACCCAGTGCCTCATGCATGCTAGGCAAGCACTCTACCACTGAGGTACAACCTCAGCCCTAGCACATTTTTAACAGAAAATCTTCTAAAAAGATACAGCTAAACTTCTTTGATTATTTTAATGTGAAATGTTTCAGTTTTTTTTCATTTTATTAAATCATTTTATTTATTTATTTATTTATTTAYTTAYTTAYTTACTTACTTACTTACTTACTTACTTACTTTCTGATGCTAGATATCAAACCCAGAGCCTTCACCATGCTAGGCAAGCACTCTCCCACTGAGCTGCATCCCCAGTCTTGGTTATTTTAATTGTAAATGCAAATATGTAATACAGGTACTAATGAATTATCTAGTAAACTTAGAATTTGTGGATAGAACTTGAATTTCTGTAAGCTACCCCATGTTACTGTGTACTTTCTGAAGGGGAGGTACTGTCTCAGGAGAAAGAATTCTACCATAACTATGCTTATGTGTAATAATGAGCTAAACAATAAGATAGGTCTATCAAATGTCATTTCAAAAATTATGCTAGGTCTGGGGTTGTGGCTCAGTGACAGAGCGCTTGCCTCACACATGTGATGCACTGGATTTGATCCTTAGCACTACATAAAAATAAACAAAATAAAGATATTGTATCCATGTATCACAAAATTTTTTTTTTTAAAAAAACCTATTAAGGTAGATAGATGCAACTTGTTAATTTACCAGAATAAGTGAGAGTTGGGAAAAATGTGAGATGTTTTTAATATCCCTGTAACAACAGTATCTGGAGCTGATGTTTCATCTTTGGAACAGAATTAATGGAGGTCATCTCTTTATTATAGAATGTTTACTTGAAATCACTTCAGGCATTTTGAAAGTTGCTTGTATAATCACCAGGACTGTAGTAGTAGTGTAATCTGTCTTTCTGTTTCATTTCCAGAGTGTTCAACCAGATTCTTCTTCGCCCAGGCATGTAAGTCACTCTTAAAATGGCTGTAATTCATTGTTCCTTAATAGTTATCAAAACCCCCTTCCCCTTTTTTTCCTTTTGGCATGTGTTGAATTGAATTAAGATTTATATTACTATTTTCTCATCTTAAGATTTGACAGATTATAGGTAATTTATTAGCATGAAATAAAATGACATTGTACTGGTGGACTCTAAACCTTGGTTAAAGCAAGCATAGCAATTCAATTTTGATAAAAGCCTCTTTCTGTAAGAGGTTATCAGTTAGACATGATTCATATAAACTCATGATTATTTGCATTTAATAAATTTTGAATAATAGTGAATTAATACTGAAAAATAGATTTTTGAAGTGGGAAAAACTATGTTATTGTGCTTTGATAATCACTAGGAATTGCAATAAAGAAGTGCAATACATTAGTTTGGTGTTAATACTTTTGGACTACATAATGAGAAGAAAACCTTATTACTTCTGTGACTTTACACGAAAATGTAATCTGCTTGGCACTGTTTTTATGACATGTGATCCTGTTTTAGATCTAACTTGAGCATTTATTTAGTGGTAAGACCAAAAGACATCCTCTTTAATGAAATTCAGGAATAAGTTCCAACAACAGATTATGGTGATGCTTTCTTTCATGAATGTGATTGTTTTAAATCCTTGCTCACTAGATGCTAGTAACCGCCACCCCCACCTCCTCACCGCCCCCCCTTCCCCACCACCCATTTGTGATAATAAAAATGTATCCAAATTGGCAAATATCCTCTGGAAAGCAAAATCTTTTCCCACTTCCTTCAGAACTACTCCTCTACTGTAATATCACTGTTTTTCTCTTGTGGTTCATAAGTATCTTATTGGGAGACACTCTGAGACTATGTATCTGTTCTACTCATTTGTTTCACTTAGTATTACTGATGTTTCTTGCCTGACTCAGTTATCATTTGATGACTGGCAAATAGTGATTTTCTAATTCTATCATTCCTTCTACATTTATTAGTTTACTCTTTATTGAAACAAATAGCTCTTCATTCTGTCATTATGTATGTATTAGTGTGGATTCATGGATTATTTTTGTTTAGTGGATTATAATGTCACTTTAATACTTATTTTGATGCTCAAACTGTTCCTGATTCAGCCACTGGGAGCCCATCAAGCTGCCTTTTGTGTCCTTTTCATTCTTTAAATGTTTCCCTCCTTTTTCTAACAACAATTTTTTCTAGATTGATCATATACTTTTCCTACCCTAACTCAAAACCAGTCTTTTCTTTATGAAGCTTCGATTCTTTTTCATGAAAAATGGTGTTTGTAAACTAAGGTCTAGATGCTACTTATCTCTCCTAGATTGTCATTGCTTCTGGATCCTCTCAGTGGATAAAGATATAAAATACATGTGTGCGTATACACATATCTATTTATGTGCATATTAAAATAATTAGTTCATTTTGATATTTCTACTTTGAATCCAGTATCACAGGGTTTATTCTATTCTTCCTCCTTTCTGAATCTGTTATTCCTTTGTTTGATTATCAGAAACCTGGCTTTCATGTAGAAATATTTTGAATCATTAGAATATAAGCAATCAATGATCTCAGTAACTAGTGTTGACTCTTAAAATTAACTAGACTGACTTTTAAAAAATATGTCATTTGCAGGGTCATAATCGTATCATTGCTTACAGTAGACCAGTTTACTTCTGTTTATGTTGTGGTCTAATTTGGTTCTTGGATTATGGTAGCAGAAACCTTACTACAACCAAGTTCAAATTATATGGAATAACATTCACCAATCCACTGGTGTTTGTATCAGCCAGGGATTTAGTTATAGGTAAGTCAGCTTTAAAGTATGTCTCATCTTAACATTATTTTATTTGTTTTCAAACAGTTCACTGATAAATAAATCAATTATATAGGTCAAATAGCTTTAATAAACTTATTTTGCTGTTTATTATAATCATCTCTGAGGACAAAAACCTGTGTAACTATTATGAGTAAGGAAACTTCTTGAACAGAACACAAGGGAAAGTTGTGGGTTTTTAAAAATTCTGTATTTTAGGTTCTTATTATGTAAAAATGGTTGAAATAATTTATTGGTTCTTTTAAATTATACATGACATTAAGATTCATTTTGACATAATTATAAAAGCATGGAATATAACTTGCTCTAATTCAGTCCCCAGTACTTCCCCTTTTCTCTTCCCACCTTCCTCCCCTGTTCCCTTCCTTTTACTCCACTGATCTTTCAATGCTATTTACTTATGTTTTTTTTTAATTGTTGTGAACATACATGATGGTGAGATTCACTGTGGTATATTCATAAATGTATATAGGAAAGTTAGGTCAAATTCATTGTACTGTTCTTCCTTCCCCCATTCCCTCAATATCAGTTGAAGTAATTTTAAAAGATATTGCTTATAGGTGAAAGATTTTGTTTAATACTCAGTTATGTAGAGATAAATAAATTTAAATATCTTTTCTTAAAAATACTTTTTGGTTGTATGTGGACATAATACCTTTATTTTATTTATGTATATGTGGTGCTGAGGATTGAACCCAGGGCCTCTCACGCACTAGGCGAGTGCTCTACACTGAGCCACAACCTCAGCCCTAAATGATATCTTTTAAAAAAAATTGCTAGTAGTTTATGTTAATGTTGTATTTCTTTGCATTGCTTGTGGTCTTTAAGTGAACAAAAGGATGAATACAGTATATTTTTAATATGCTATTCTTTCTTTCCATAGTGTTTACACTCTGTTTCCCAATAGTGTTTTTCATTGGCCTCCTGCCTCAGGTGAATACATTTGTAATGTACCTTTGTGAACAATTGGATATTCATATTTTTGGTGGTAATGGTGAGTACTCTTCATAAAAATTGTAGATTACAGTATTTAAGCATAGCTTAATAAATAGGGGACAGTTACAGCCTTTAGAACTGTTATTGGTGTTAAATTTATTTAAATACTATGATACGGACTTAGTATATAGGTGGTTTATAAAAGGAGTTTTGTCATGGTTTACACCCTTGCAACAAGGTATTAGACTTTAATATCTCGTAAAGAAAGTTTTTCTGTAAATTTTCTTTTATGATCACAATATAAGAGCACAGTAAAAAAAATATATCTATATATTTTTAAAATAAATCCTAGCTATCTTAATCATTCATTCTTCCTTATTACTAGTAATTCCATTGGATCTATTTGTTGTTATTGTTGTAGTCAGATCTACACTTTTTGTGTGAGAATTAATCAATGCACAGGAATATAGATTTACTTCTGTGGGTACCGAGTTCTTTTTACATAGACTGATATCATTCAGTGATTAACTCATACATCTCCAGTTTGTTTTCAGGCTTCTGCATAACTTATGTTCCAAACTTTCTGGATCTAAGCTACATTCTTGAAGTATAATATAGATTTAACTTTTTCTACTCTGCTTAATTGTTCATTACTCCTGAGATAAATATACTTTACCTTGCATTAGAGATTTGAGAATAGCAAATCTTTGTCAGGTCAAAATATTTTGAAAGAACAGAATGAAGTAACAATTTTTAAAAGTCAAATGAGTAGATAATAATATACTAGTATTATAGGACATTTTAATAGTTTAAATGCTTTTTGGTGACTTTTAAAGTTTTTTCCATAGATGTTTATAAAGTATTGATTTCTTTTTTCTATACTCTCTAGCTACTACAAGCCTGCTTGCAGCACTTTACAGTTTTATCTGTAGCATTGTGGCAGTAGCCTTATTGTATGGATTATGTTACGGAGCTTTAAAGGTGAGCAATAAATTATAGTTTATGTGGTTTTGAGGATCGAACCCAGTGCCTCATGCATGCTAGGTGAGCACTCTACCTCTGAGCTACAACCCCAGCCCAAGGTTACATTTCTTTATGAAGATTGTTTTAAATTGACTAAAAATGTTTTTCCCCCTGGTGCCACTTAATCATTAATTTCCATTGTGTTCATGTGCTAAATGTTATTCTTTTTTTTAAATTTTTTTTTGTTCTTTTTAGATATACATGACAGCACAGTGTATTTTGACATCTTATATACACATGGAGTATAACTTATTCTAATTAGGATCTCATTCTTGTGGTTGTACATGATGTGGCATTTCACTGGTGTTATATTCGTATGTGAATATAGGAAAGTTATGTCCAATTCATTCTATTGCCTTTCCTAGCACTATCCCTACCCCTTTCCCTTCATTCCCCTTTGTCTAATCCACTGAACTTCTATTCTTCCCCTCCCAACTTATTCTGCGTTAACATCCCCATATCAGAGAGAACATTCAACCTTTGGTTTTGGGGGATTGGCTTATTTCACGTTATTCTTATTTTCATTTACTTTGAATTTGAAAGAAATTTAATAGATTATTAAAAGAATTTTTTTTCTGTATTAACCATGGGTTAGTATTAGAAATGGATTATCAAAAACCAGGCTCATCTGGGATGGGGTGAGCATGGTAATCACAGAATATGCTAWATGTTTAGTTAAGAAGTTATATAACTACTATTTTTTATATTAAAGTTTCTTTAAAGTTGTAAGAATAAGTTCAAGGACTACAATTTAAGGTACATGCTAATAAAAATTAATATGCTAGAATTTAATGCCATTTTAGGGTAAGCATCTGAATGAGCCTATGAGCTCTCTTTAAAAATACTGTCACCAAGGGCTGGAGATGTAGCTCAGTGGTAGAGTACTTACTGAGTATACACGAAACCTTGAGTTTGATGCCTAGTACCACATGCTCTAAAGTCACCAAATTGTCTTGTTTTAACTAATACACAATTTTGTTTATTTTCAGTATTTTTATTGGTACATTATAGTTTTACATAATGGGGTTTATTGTTGCATGTTTGTGCATTGCACACAATATAACAAAATAATTTAGTCACTATTATTCCCTGGTATTTTCCCTCCCCGTTTTCTCCTCCCTTCCCCTTTCCTCTATTGATCTCCCTTTGAAGATCAAACCCATCYTTCTTTTCCTATTTCCTCTCTAACTTCCATTTAAAAGAACAAACTTACGAACCTGTGTCACCAAATTGTAAGCGTGAAAATCTTCAGGGGTTTTTTTTTATATTTATTTTTTAGTTGTAGTTGGACACAATACCTTTATTTGTTTACTTATTTTTATGTGGTGCTGAGAATTGAACCCAGGGCCTTGCAAGTGCTATACCGCTGAGCCACAACCCTAGCCCCCTTTTTTCTTAAATAGAGATTTACAGTCCCTTACATATAATTTCTGAGAGTTGTTTGTTTTTTTTGTGGTTAATGCAAGGCAATTAGAGAATGGTTAGGGTTGAAATAATTATGAAGAATGACTCACAGCATTTTTCTTTGCTTCATTTATTCTGTGGTGTTTATGGGTCACTTACTGTGTGTCAAGAACAATGCAAAAAGCCATTTCCTGCTGGTTTTGTGGGGTTTTTTTTGCTTGCTTGTTTGTTTGTTTTGGTCTTCTTTTGGTAGTGCTGAGGATCAAATGCACAGCACATACATTTTAGGCAAGCAAGTGTTCTACCACTGAGCCACATCCCCAGGTCCATTTCTCACTTCCAAGGAATTTATAGGTTAGTTGGGATTACTAAGTCAAGGAACATATTCAGTATAGGGTAACAGAGGCTGTGAAAACAGAATGCTGTGGTTATATAAATTGACATTAAAAGGGAATAAAGGCCATTTTCTAGGAGGATGATTTTAACCAAATTTTGAAGGACAAGTAAGAATTAGCTAGTTGAAACAGAGAATACAGAGCCATGAATTTGGGAAAAAAGTGTTGTAAAGGAAAACAGCAACTAATTTTGGAGTTGCTAGAATTTGGGTACATGAGGAAAGATGGTCTTCATTAAGGCTAAAAAGGTAATCAAGGACTAAATTATGAAATACCCTGTATTCTGAATGTGTGGTCTAAAGATGGGAGATTATCAGTGTATTTGAGGTAGGACAGGAAATGATTAGAGTTGCATTTTACAAAGATTACTCTTTCTCATATATCTGTTTACTTTTTTTAATTATTTTTTATTATTTTTTTTTTATTATTTTTTATTATTCTACAGATTCTCTTTCCTGCATACATCTTGTTTTCTCCTTTGCTTTCTGATGTATTAATCTTTCATTCTTGAACTCATGCAAATTTGCATGTTTTTAACTTTCTTCTCAGCACATTCAAATGTGTCAGAAGTTCAGTTTATGGTTCCACCACTTCACTGGACAGTTGAAACGCTGAATGCCTTAGCTTCCTTATCCATAAATTGGGAGTAATAGTGTGTATTTCCAAAGATTACTGTTAAAATTATTTAGAAAATATTTACAAATACCTAGGAATGGGGCTGTACATACACTATTTAATATGATGATAAGGTTTTGATTTAGCCATTACCAAAATGTCTATGTTGTGATTAGAATAATTTCCAAGAGTATTCGGGCATGGGGAGGCAAATGAGTAAAAAACTACCATACTCCTATCATTTTCCATTCTGAAATTCCCTAAGAAAGATAAAGGATTAGAATGTTATCCATCACATAGAACATATTTGTGAACTATTCCTGTTACCAGGGTTGTCCACTCTATGCCATATATCATGCTAGTAGTATCCAGAGATAACTTCAGTGCCACAGGGCTAACATGACACCTGCCTGTGTTTGGTTGTCCTTGAAAGCTTATCCTTTCTAYTATTTCCTTGTGGGAATATACATTCATTCTATCAGGTAATAGTTATTGAATGTTGCTCAGTGCTCTGGAAGTTATAATAGTATGGTATATATTGCATGAGTAAAATGGTTGTACTGTGTAAGTAGCATGTAAGACACCAAGATATTCTTTGGCCTAATGTGTTCTATCATGTCCTCCTGCTCCATTGTTATATATAATGAATTTACCAAGTTATTTTATTCTTCAAAAAAAGAACACATAATTTACTATACATGCTATTTAAAATATTAAATAATGGTAGTAGCAAGCATCAAAAGCAAAATTTTCCCAGTAAATGAATAAGAGCTTTAATAACAAAAGAAATCTGGCTCATATCTGGTAGTGAGAGTGGGGAGGAGCCCTCGCTCTTTCTGCAGCCTCTGAGGTATGCCCTGAGCCCGCCCACAGCACCAGGCCAGCTGCAGCGGGAGTGAACCAGAGCCGCCCAGCCTGCAGTGTCACTGTTGTTCAGCTGGGTGGCCAAGGTGTCTAAGATCATCAGTTCCATCCCCATCCRCCAGGCTAGGAAGATCGCCCACCAGGAGGAACTGCACTGCCTCTGGGAGTTTGACAACACATTTGCCAAGAAGTTCATGGTGCTCTTTTGTGATAGCTCACAAGAAGGCCCCGCCAGCGCTGATTTGATGAGTGCATTSAGAAGTTAAACCACATCAGCTGCAGCCAGCTGGTTGATTGGAACCGGGCACCAGAACCGCGCAGGCCCATGCGCAAGTCCTTCTCCCAGCCTGGCCTGTGTTCACTGGCCTCAGGAAGGAGTTTCAGGATGCTGGCCTCCGAGGCAGCAGTTTCTTCAGTTCTTTTGAAGAAAATGACATTGAGAACCACCTAATTAGTGGATACAATATTGTGCAGCCAACAAATATTGAGGGAAATCGAACTATGCTCTTCATGATTGGCCAGTCTGAAGTTTACTTCCTCAGTCCTGACAACAAAAAAAAAAAGCACTGGAAAAAAAATTTAAGGAAATATCCTTTTGCTCTCAGGGCATTAGACATGTGGACCACTTTGGGTGCTGGGAGTCTTCGGGAGGTGGTGGCTTCCATTTTGTCTGTTATGTGTTCCAGTGTACAAATAAAGCTCTGGTTGATGAAATCATGATGACCCTGCAACAGGCTTTCACAGTGGCTGCAGTGCAGCAGACTGCAAAAGCTCCAGCCCAGCTGTGTGAGGGCTGCCCCTTGCAGGCCCTGTACAAGCTCTGTGAGAAGATAGAGGGAATGAATTCTTTCAAATCCAAACTAGAACTCCAAAAACACCTGACAACATTAACTAATCAGGAACAGGCAACTATTTTTGAGGAGGTTCAGAAATTGAGACCAAGGAGTGAGCAGCAAGAAAATGAATCGATCATTTCTTTTATGAGATATTTGTATGAAGAGAAGCAGAAAGAACACATCCACATCAGGGAGATGAAGCAGGCATCACAGATTGCAGCAGAAAATATTGGAAGTGAATTGCCAGCCAGTGCCACTCCATTTAGGCTAGATATGCTGAAAAATAAAGCAAAGAGATCTTTAACAGAGTCTTTAGAAAGTATTTTGTCTCAGGGTAATAAGACCAAAGGCCTGCAGGAACACTCTACCAGCGTGGATCTGGACACCTCTATGTCTAGCACATTAAGTAACATCAGCAAGGAGCCGTCAGTGGGTGACAAGGAGGCCTTCCTTGCCCATCTCTGAGAGTTCTTTCAAGCTCCTCGGCTCTTCGGATGACCTGTCCAGTGATTTAAAGGGCCATTTTGCAGAAGAGCCTGCTTCGATTTCCCCCCAGCAGACCTTCAGGAGGCGAGCAAACACCCTGAGTCATTTCCCAGTGGGCTGCCCAGAACTTCCAGAGCCCACTCAGGGGTCTCCAGATGTCTTTCAGAGAAAACTTATGAGGTATCACTCAGTGAGCACAGAGATGCCTCACAAATGAAAGGACCTTGAATCCAAAGCAAACCACATCGGTGACTCTGGTGGGACCCCAGTGAAGACCCAGCGGCACTCAAGGAGGCAGCAGATATTCCTGCATGTGGCCACCCCACAGAAGGCATGCATCTCCCCTGGCAGATATGAGGATTATTCAGAGCTGGGAGAGGTCTCCTTTAGAACCAGTATGTAAAGATGGACCCTTTGGCCCTGTACCAGAGGAAAAGAAGAGGACATCACGGGAGCTTCATGAGCTGTGGAAAAGGCTATTCTGTGACAGATACTGCTCCTCAGAATGGAGAAGGAAAATCGGAAGCTACAAGCCTCTGAGAATGACTTGCTGAACAAATGCCTGAAGCTCGATTATGAAGAAATCATTCCTTGTCTTAAAGAAATAACTACAGTATGGGAAAAGATGCTTAACACTCCAAGAAGATCAAAAATTAAGTTTGATATGGAAAAAATGAACTCGGCGGTTGGACAAGGTGTGCCTTGTCATCATCGGGGTGAAATCTGGAAATTTCTAGCAAAGCAGTTCCACCTTAAACATCCGTTTCCCAGTAAACAGCAGCCAAAGGATGTGCCCTACAAAGAGCTCCTAAAGCAGCTAACCTCCCAGCAGCACACCATTCTTATTGATCTCGGGCAAACCTTTCCAACACATCTGTACTTCTCTGCCCAGCTCGGAGCAGGGCAACTGTCACTTTACAACATTTTGAAGGCCTACTCACTTCTAGACCAGGAAGTAGGTCTAGCCTCATCTAGACCTCAGCTTTGTGGCAGGCATTTTGCTGCTTCATATGAGTGAGGAAGAGGCMTTTAAAATGCTCAAGTTTTTGATGTTTGACATGGGACTGCGGAAGCAATATCTGCCAGACATGATAATTTTACAGATCCAGATGTACCAGCTCTCGTGGCTTCTCCATGACTACCACAGAGATCTCTATGATCACCTAGAGGAGCACAAGATCGGCCCTAGTCTTTATGCTGCACCCTGGTTCCTCACCATGTTCGCTTCTCAGTTCCCACTRGGCTTTGTAGCCAGATTCTTTGATATGGTCTTTCTTCAAGGGTCAGAGGTCATATTTAAAGTGGCTCTAAGTCTTTTGGGAAGCCATAAGCCCTTGATTCTGCCGCACGAAAACTTAGAAACCATAGTGGACTTTATCAAAAACACACTACCTAACTTGGGGTTGGTACAAATGGAGAAGACCATCAAACAGGTGTTTAAGATAGACATCGATAAACAGTTATAGGCTTATGAAGTTGAGTACCATGTACTTCAAGAAGAACTTATTGATTCCTCTTCTCTCAGTGACAACCAAAGAATGGATAAATTAGAGAAAACCAACAGCAGCTTACGCAAACAGAACTTTGATCTCCTTGAGCAATTGCAGGTGGCAAATGGTAGGATCCAGAGCTTTGAAGCCACAGTAGAGAAGCTCCTGATTAGTGAGAGCAAGCTGAAGCAGGCCATGTTGGCTCTGGAGCTGGAGAGGTCTGCCCTGCTTCGGATGGTGGAGGAGCTGCAGAGGCAGCCTACAGAGCCAGGCACTAGGGAGCCAGAGCCAGACTGCACCCAGCCTGAGGCCTCGGGGGACTAATGGTTCTGGAGAAATTGTACACTATTTCAACACTATCCAGGCCTTAACTAGGAGAGAGAGAAGATGCTGGAGGGAGAAAACAAAGCGTGAAGCAAACTTCTCAGGGATCAAACTGGCTTGCCAACATGCAGATTCGTTTCAGTTCAAACTTGCAATTCAGAGGGCCCATGTCACAGTTTTTTTATTGTTTCAGGTTGTGATTCGTCCCTTCTCCAGCTTGATTATTGTACTCAGTAACTTTAGATGGCATGGACGGGAATAAATGGACCTTTTCTTTTCCTGGTTATTTCCTCTTTGAGTAGCACTGTGTTGTAAAGTGCATTTGTAATACTGGGTTCCAGAAGCAGGAGTGGCTCAAAGATGATCCCTCAGGCAAAGTGTGGGTCTGTCATTCAAGAGAGGGTTTGCGTGACCACTCCCTCTGTCACCAGTGAGGTACAGTTGGCCCTTGTCTATTCTTATTAGGAAAACCTAAGATGACCCTGGGGAAGGTCTGAAATTGATTTATTTAAATTGGACATCTTGATCACTTTTAAGTAAACCTGGCTACTGTCCTTGGTATTTAGAAGGAAGTTTGTCTTTTTAAAATAGTTGAGTATTTCCATACAAATATGCTGGTCTTTTAAGTGTAGTCGATCAAAGTCATGGTAGATAATATTTTAAGGGAAATCACCAGTGTTTAGACTCCAACTGTGTGGCTGGCATGTGGCCCGCAGTGGTGCAGCCCGAGGTGTTTGCTTTTCGTGGAGGTTGCATTTCATACTATGGAGTCACGTATTTATCCTTTCCTATTGTATGATGTACTGCAGCCACGTGTTCTTTTGAGTCAATGTCTTTTTGAACTCTTTTGAGTTCTTTTCACCCCTTGGATATCTAGTTCCTTGTAGAAGGAGCAGGGCACATCGAGATTTTTAGGGATGTCCAAGATTATAGGACTTTTAAAAAGAGATCAGTCTGAACTTGCAATCAGATATATAGCAGCTGATAGTTTTCCAGAGGTAGAACATGTGTTTTGAATAGAATTCACAACCCAGCAGCAACTCCCTCCCCAGGATGATGAGGACTTATGTCTTCTAGCAAAATGCTGTTCATAGTTGCCCTGATTTCAGCTGGTCACTGTGTAAGGCCCCTTCCCTGTGATCTCAGAATGGGTTATTTTCTTACAAAGAATTAGAGAAGAACTGTGCAGGCACAGCTTACTTCCCTGACAGCAGAATCATTTCTGGTCTTACTTGTGTTTCTTGGGAGTTTCTTTTGACTCTTGTGGTGGTAGGGTCTCTTTTAAGTCCTGAATGAAAGCAGGGATTGCTATAGTTGGAGTCATTTGAATCTCCTGGCCATTTCAAAGGGAGACCAAAATGCTGCCCTCTGTGCCTGAATGGTTGGTTGGCATTTGAGAGTTCTTCCTGTTCCTCTGGGTCAGAGAATAGTGGTTGTCATGTTCCTTTGAGTCATGGTTTACCAAGATGACACAGTAAAGTCTAGAAGCTGCTATCCYACTGGTTCTACTGGATAGCTTGGAGGAATGAGAGCTTCTTTCCATGTCATATTTTACTATTTGAATGTTTCATAATGTTGAATTTTGGACATCTTACTACCCTTATTAAAAAATATTGACGCTGCATTAAGTAAGAAATAAGAAAGCAGTAAAACAATAAATAATCTAAAAAAAAGAAATCTGGAACTTTATTACTGAGAGAAACCTAGCAGCTAGATTCTAGCTCATGAGAAAGTAACAAATCTAAATTTATTTGGAATAAAATGCAACTAATAATATGACCAAAACATTTTTAAAATTTAAGTTCATTGGTTCTTTCCAAAATACTGACATAAAAAGATTCTATTATAAATTAGAAGTTTATTGTTCTGTTACATTTTTTTCTCAACAGGATTCATGGGATGGCCAACATATTCCAGTACTTTTCTCCATTTTTTGTGGCTTATTGGTGGCTGTATCCTATCATCTCAGCCGACAAAGCAGTGATCCATCTGTACTTTTGTAAGTGAAATCAATTGTTATTGTTAGAGAAATTTAAATAAGTTAACATTTCTTTTAAAGAACTCCCAAGACCTCTTTTCCCAATGTCTTTCCAAAGTGCTGGTGGCCTAGTCTATCTATAATCCCTTTTCAAAATGTATTAACATTGGGTCAATTCTAACCATCTTTGCTGAAAATGTTAGGTTTTTTTCCCTCCCAAGTATTAAAACTGTGTTTCAGTAAAAAGATTTTTACTGTATTGCTGTTTATGATACCTTTGACTTTTTAGGATTTTCTGTTTCCTTTTGATTAAATATACTTGGGTCACTTTTCTGTCATAAACTATCATTTGCATTACTTTTTTTCAGGTTATATATGTATTTTCTATTAATTATTTTCTCTTGATTTTTAAAAATGTAAAGCTCTTTGGTACAATCCAAGATTTTTCCAAAAACAGAAGAAAAAAATCCGGAAGACCCTCTGTCTGAAGTAAAAGACCCACTGCCTGAAAAACTTAGGAATTCTGTTGTAAGTTTCAGTTGTTTAATTTAACTATAGGTCTTAAATGTTAGACAGTTGATTTTATTGTATAATGAATACTTTTGAAAGTCTTTAGTAATTAGAAGAAAATATATAGTCCCATTGAGTGGGGTTAGTTGTACATTGTTGATTACCTTTACTCCAATTTTTAACATGYAAGTTGAACATCCTTAATTCAAAAAACCCCAAATGCTCTAAAATTCAAAACTTTTGAGTGTCAGCATTATGCCACAGTGAAAAATACCAATCCTGACCACAAGGGATCAGTCACAGTTAAAATGTAGGTAGACTAAAAATAGTATTTAAAATTACCTTCAGGCCATCCTGCATGTGAAACATAGATGAATTTTGGATCGCATCCTTAAGATATCTCATTAGGTAAATGCAAATATTCCAAAATAAGAAAAAATTCAAAACAGTTCTTTCTGAACCTACGCATTTTGTCTAGGGGATACCCAACCTTCATAAGAAATGTTCATTCCTCAAACTTCGTTTCTATGTAGAATAATATGGCATTTATTCATTTCCAGGTAAGGGAAAATGAAGTTATTTTATTGGTCATAGAGTTTTTTTTCATCCTGTTTACACTAGACTAGACTAGACTCTGAAAGATGAATAAAATACTCCTTCTTTGCCCTTACTCATTGTCAAATGCAATCCAAAAATATTACATGGAAAGTTCCAGAAATAAATAATAGATAACTTTTAAATTGCATGCCATTCTGATTTGCATGATGAAATCTTGCACCGTCTCAGTTGAGACATGAACCTCCCTCTGTCTAGTATGTCTATGCATATCTGCTACCTGCCTGTTAGTCACTTAGTAGCCATCATGGTTAGCAATATAGTATATAGGGTTAGATATTGCCTGTGATTTCAGGTATCCAGATAAGGGGAAAGTACTGTGTTAATGTAAATTAGATTCATTGTGTTTTTATTATTGATTAAAAACTATGGACAGGCATATATCTCTAATACCAGTGGCTTAGGCAGGAGGACAAGTTCAAGGCCAGCCCAGACAAATTAACCCCTGTCTTAAAATTAAATTTTAAAAAAGAAACAGGAATGTGGCTCAGTGGTAAAGCATCTCTGGGTTCAATCTCCAGTACCACACACAAAAAAATAACTATGTCCTTGTAAGTGTCTTACTAGTCCTCTAGGGCGTTTTATTTGCCAAGGGCAATTTGAAAAGTTTATGCATTTTCCATGTTAAAGGAGAGAACAATAGCCAAATCTATCTTAATATACTTAAGTAAATTCAGTAATTCTCTTATGTTTCTAATTTAGTAAATTACAATATTGTTTATTTTCTTTGATTAATTATTTGAAGATGAATTCTATAGATTCATATCTGTTTTATGGAACAGAACAGTATTCTCCAGTTTTTAGATTATTTCCATTGGGAAAGACAAAATTTACATAAGTATCAAATAGGACATACTTTTAACTATTAGTGGATATGAGCTAGAGAAAACTTTAGAAATTCAAAACTACCTCAAGATATAATTGAAACAGTTTTTTTTCCTGACTTTAGTTTCCATGTTAGCAAAGGATATTTCATGTTAAGCATAAGAGGAGGTTCTGAATCTAGTTTATATCAGAAATATCAAGAGGTTTCTGTGTTTTTCTACATGTGCAGCATTACTAATCTTGAAAATGCAAAATGTTCCTAAATTGATGCTTAAAATGTTTCAGATTTTGGAGCATTTTGAACTTTGGCTTTTTGTTTTAAGGATTCTCAATTGGTATAAAGTCTAGGTAAATATTCTTAAATGTGAAAGATTCCAAATTTTGAAATGGTCACAAGCATTTCAGTTAAGGGGTACTCAACCTGTATAACCTCTAAGGACATATGCATGTGGTTTTAACATTTCAAAAGACCAATGAAAATATAACTTACTAAAGGGAGATAACCTGAAAATGATATGATAACTTAAGTATCTAATTTCTTTTCTTCTATGTAAAACTCTTGACCAGTAGCGGGGAAAAAACCTTCATTCTAAAAGACTATTGCAATATGTTTAGAGCATGCAAACTGGTTGTTTAATTTCCTTGACACTATAGATAAGGAAAGAAATTGAGGAAGAAAATAAGATATACTATAATAATCATTATATTTAAGAAATATGTAGAAGTGTTAAAGAATATCAGTGAAAAATTATTTCTCAAACGTTGCCAGTTGGGAATAAAAGACAGATTTCTGAATCTGTTATTATTTCTTTTTCTTGTTCCACAGAGTGAGCGTTTACAGTCTGACTTAGTGGTATGCATTGTAATTGGTGTGCTGTATTTTGCTATTCATGTAAGCACGGTGTTCACAGTATTACAGGTAAAGGAATCATTTTATTCTTTCAGTTGGGGGAAAATAACCTTTGAATTCATTTCTGATTTTGATTATAATGTTTGTCAATAGCACTGAAATATATGACTTTTCATTTGGTTTTAACATATATTTATTTTCTCATGCCTTTTCTGGGTCATGAATCTGAGAGTGGCTTTAAGTAATCCCCAACTTAGGATCTTTTATGATATTGCAATCTTCTGAGGTTTGTTGTTTATAGGATTCAGTTCCTTTCCAGGTAGTTCTCCCCATAGCAGGCCTGAGTGTCCTCATGAAATGGGAACTGGTTTCCCCTGGAACAATGATCCTAGAGAAAGAAAGTCCAAGACAGAAGCTGTGCTTTTATAACCTTATATTGGAAATGACACATTGGTACTTGTGCCATATTCTATTGGTCACATAGACAAACCCTGGTATAATGTGGGAAGGAAATACCCACCAGGGAGCCAGGATCATGGGGACCATTTTGGAGGCTGACTACCACAGTCCACTCTCTAGCATCCATGACTTGCATCCCTCCCATATGCAAGATGCCCTTATTATCTTTTAAAAAACCCCAAAGTCAGGGGTGGGGTTATGGCTCAGCAATAGAGTGCTTGCCTCACACGTGCAAGGCCCTGGGTTTGATCCTCAGCACCACATAAAAATAAATAAATAAAATAAAGTTTAAAAAAAAAMCCCAAAGTTTTATTTCTAGACAGCTGGAAAGCCTAGAACCTTATTATCTAATCAGGCTCAGATATGGAAGAGACTCCTCAAGAGTTCCTTAAGGATAGTTCCTTCTACCTGTGGGTCACGTCATTACCATAGTTACTGTAGATCCATATTTCCTTCTACCTGAAAGATTTACTAGAACATTTCTTATAGTATGAATCTGTAAATTCTTTCAGCCTTTGTATTTCTGAGAAAGTCCTTATCTTACCATTGGTTTTGAAAGATACTTTACTATGTGTAAAAGTCTAAGAAGGCAGGTTTTTTCTTTCTGTATTTAAAGATGTTGTTCCATTGCTTCTGGCTTCTATTGCTTCTGATTTGAAAGCTGCTGTTACCTTTATTTAATTATTTTTGGTAATGGGATTGAACCCAGAAGTGCTTTACCACTAAATCACATCTTCATCCCTTTTATTTTTATTTTGAGACAGGGTCTTACTAAGTTGCTTAGGGCCTTGCTTAGTTGCTGAGGCTGGCCTCAAACCTGTGATTCTCCTATCTCAGCCTCCAGAGTCCTTGGGATTATAATAGTCTTGTGCCACTATCCTCACAAGTTATCCTTATCTTTATTCCTCTGTAGATGACCTTTTCCTTCCTCTATTTCTTGTAAGATTTTCTTTTATCATTAGTTTTGAGTCATTGGATTATGCTGTGCCTTCATGTAGATTTCCTCATGTTTTTGTGTTTGGGGTTTAAACTTTTCATAAATTTGGAAAATTTTAGCCTTCATTATTTCAGATGTTTTTGCTGTACTTCTCCTCCTGCCTTTCCCAGCTTGCCRCTTCCTCCACCCTGTCCTCACACTGCTTCATGAACTCCAAATATGTACAGCTTTGCCTTCCGAGAATATTTCAGTTATCAGATGCTCTGTTCATTTTCATCCTTTTTTTTTCCCCCTGTGTTTAATTTTAAATGGTGTCATTGATAGGTCTTTAAATTCACTAATCTTTTTTTCTGTGTATGTGTAATCTGTCATTAATCCCATTTTTTAAATCTCAGAATTATAATTTTTTATAATTTATCATTTTTAATCTCTAGAAGTTTATTTAGGTCATTTTAAAAAATATGTCTCCCTGGCCTGGGGTTGTAGTTTAGTGGTATAACACTTGCCTAGCATGTGTGAGGCAGTAGGTTCGATTCTTAGCACTACATAAAAATAAATTTAAAGAAAGGTATTGTGTACATCTAAAAAAATTTAAAAAATAAAATACCAAAGCTTTTCTATGTCAAATGAAAATCAGAAATGTCCACCTTCCTTACTTGACTTTTTGAACATAAAATATTCTGTTACAACTCTTAATGTCCTTTTCTACTAATTCTAACATCTATATCACAGTTTAGTTCTTATTAACTGATTTTCTTACCCTCTCTAGGGGTCATAGTTTTCTGAGTCTGTGCACACTCAGTAATTTTTGATTGAATGTCATACTATAAATATTACATTTAGGTGTCAGATAATTTTGTATTTCCAGAAATATTCTTGAACTTTTTTCTGGAATACTGTTAAGCACTTTTTAACAGTCTGAACCTTTCAGGCCTTAATTTTAATGTTTCTGAGGTAGGACTAGGGCCTCATGTGTACCAGAGCTGGTATTCCCCACTACTGAGGAGAATATCCTTTTGAGGTCTCTTCTCAGTGCTCTGTGAATCTTTAGCTCTTTCAGTCTGGCTTGTGAGAGCAGGTACTCTCCTGCCCTATCTGAGTGCTAGGTAATATCTCCACTCCCTTTGTAAGCTTCTTTTCCTGCCCTTGTGTAGTTTCCTTACTTGCATGCAGTGGTATTTCCCTGAATATTCCAAGGGAACCCTCTGCAAATCTCCAGAGTTCTCCCTCTGGGTGGCTTTCTCTTTTATACACTGTCTCTTCTGGTGAAGTCTAGCCACCTGATCTTTCTAAACTTTAGAGTTCCACATCCTTATCTCACAGTGTGCTTGGCTTTGCTTGGGTTCCCCTCCCTGTGGGACAACCTGGAGACCCAGGGCAGGAAGCTGGAGCAGTCATGCTCACCTCCTTTATTCCCTTCCTTCAGGGTTCAGGCTTATTTCCTGTGTCTCATCTGTCACAGACCATTGGGTCGTATGTTTTATTCAGTTCTGATAGTTTAATATGATTGTTTAATATAGAAGCAAAGACATAATTATTTAATTTTATTTAATATTTCAAACATTATAATCAAACTATTAGTCTGTAACCACTTCCAAACAAGTACGGTTCAGTGGGTCATCAAGGTGCAAATGGAGACTCCTTCACATCCAAGTGGTTCCAGAATGTCTAAATGTGACTTACATAGAATATTTGAAGAGAGAATACTCGATTCCCTCTTTTGTACATAGAATTCAAATAATATACAGTGTGAAGGAACAAATAAAGTGGAATACTTTTTTTTTTTCCTGCTCTGCTCTCAGACTCAGTTTTACTCGGTTTATATCCTTTATCTCTGCTAGTTAAAACAACTTGATTACATTGGTCTGAAATTGTATATAACATTTTTGGGAGCAGGAAGCAGTACAACTCCAATCACGCTCAGTAGTGTGAGACACCAAAGGAAGTAGTTTACACATTTAAAATACCTGTAACATAAGAACAGTCATTATCTTTCATGGCTTGATTTTAATGAGCTTTATGTTTCATGCTACATAACTTAGAAATGTAACTATGATAAATGTTTAGTTCTTAGGTTCTAAAACTGACTTTGCTGTTCTCTATTATCAAATGGAAAATTGCACCCCCAGTTGAGAGGTTCCAAAATGAGTCTTAAAGTCACTCCTAATTTTCTCAACTCTTTTTCTTTTAAAGCCTGCTCTCAAGTTTGTGTTATATGCATTGGTTGGCTTTGTGGGTWTCGTAACCCACTATGTGCTGCCTCAAGTTAGGAAACAGCTACCATGGCATTGTTTCTCTCATCCTCTGCTGAAGACCGAAGAGTACAATCAGTATGAAGTTCGAAGTAAGTATTTCCTTAACACTTTTTTTTTTATTAATACTAAGGTTGTGTTCTTTTTACTAGGCTGATAGATGACTAAGTATGTATCATTGGAAAACAGCTTGGCTGTGCTTCTTGTCCTTAAATTTGAACCTATTAATGAATTAGATCTTTTTTCAGGATGATGGTTTTCTTTTTGTTTGAGTGTTTGTTTTTGTTTTTTGGGTTTTTTTTGGTAGTGGGGAATTGAAAAGGTCTTTGTTATTATTTCTGCCAGAGACACTAGGTCCTACCAGAGTTTAAAAAACCAAACAAACAAACATTTTTTAATTGCTGTTTTTAGTTCAGATTTGGGATAAACTATAAAATGACTCAAAAAGAGATATAAGGCCTGTTTGGCAAGCTGTTGCTTCATTTTTCTTTCCTTTGTAAATATTCACTTCTTTTTCATTGGCCCCATGACCAGTGTTATGCTATACTTCCTCATTTTAGAGAAATAAATRTTCATATCTAAGTCATTTATTATTGTACCAGTGATGAAATAAACCAAAATTTTCTTCACAGACTTTTCTTTCAATTATGAAATTGCTATAAAAGTAGAAATAAACCTCTCCATCATTTGAAGATGCATTAACATTTTTAGAAAATTCTGAAGCTTTTGAAAACTTTCTGTAAAAATCTTGACTTTAGGGCYGGGGTTGTGGCTCAGTGGTAGAGCCTCACACACTTCATGTGTGAGGCCCTGGGTTTGATCCTCAGCGCCACATAAAAATAAATAAATCAAATAAAGGTATTGTGTCCATCTACAACTAAAAGGAAAAAAATAAAAAATAAAACTTGACTTTATATTCTCAAAGCAAATTTCCTGGGCCTTTTAGTGAAATTGATTGAAGCATGATGCCACTTTAACCTTCATCACCAGTTGGATCTGCAGGCGATAATACAACACTAATATGTAGATTGCATTAGCAGCACTGTGAGGACCTTTTACAAAATATGTGCTCTTTAAATAAGGGAAAACAATATGAAATTATGAGAATCAGTACTCACCCGTTCCCTGCATCATGGAAGTAACTCAGAATGAGATTTTTTTAAATTAGCATTGCTTTTATACATAAATGACAGCAAATATATCTAATTTGTTTTAAAAAAGCACTTTTAATTAAATGCTTAATTGACCATATTGTTTATTTCTAACTTAAAAGTCTGAATTTTTTATAAATTTTGCATCAACCTGATGATTTTGAATTTTTGAAAGTACTAAATAGTAGTGAAATCATTTTTTTCTCCTACTGATTTTAGCAATTGAAAGAAAAATTATATTCATTAGAGAACTTATTAAAAGCCTGGAAATTGAGGCTGGGGCTCTGGCTCAGAGGTAGAGTGCTTGCTTACCATGCGTGAGGCACTGGGTTCGATCCTCAGCACCACATAAGTATAAAATAAAGATATTGTGTCCACGTATAACTAAAAAATAAGTATAAAAAAAGAAGCCTGGAAATATTGCTCTCAGGTAGCTGAAGAACCATGTATTAAATCTTTGATGTATTCAAGATAGTTTATTGGAAATGAATGTGACTCTTATGAAGTATATGAATTCAAATAATAAATTCTCATAGGTTCTGAGATATTATAATTATATATATGAGTTCAATTCCTGGTACCAAAAAAAAGAAAAAAAGAATTAAAGTTTAAAATGAAATTCATTTAAATATGTCATTTCCAAATAGCACGTTGGTAAGTATTTCACAATTAATTAGAGTTGACAATGGTTAAAATACTAGATTTTTACATTTTTATTTAAAGTGTAGAGCTAATTTGATTTGTGAGAGTTTCCTTTCTTGTCACATTGCCAGACTACTTTATACATTGGATGACACATGATCTTCTTGACTTACATTGCCTTGTTAGATGCAGCTACTATGATGTGGTTTGAAAAACTTCATGTGTGGCTTCTTTTTGTTGAGAAGAATATTATCTATCCACTGATTGTTCTCAATGAACTTAGTAGTAGTGCAGAGACAATTGCCAGTCCAAAGAAACTGGATACAGAGTAAGTACAATAATCTTCTAGTCTGACTCTTGGGGACTGTTTCTAACAACAGTATTACAATACAGTGTCTTCGGTTGTTGATCAAGGTCCAGATATCCATCGAGTGTCTCTTTGGTGATTGGCATTGTAAGGTGAAAAATTCAGGTGAAATTTTGTCTTTCACTTCCCTTTTTGAAACATCTACTGTTGTTCTTAGCAAATTCACTACTACAAACATCTCATTGTCAACTGATATTTTATGAGAGGACATTTATTAAAGTTAATTTTTAATATTAGATGACAGGTCTGAGGGATGGCTGGTTTTGTGTACTGTGTAAGTTGTACCATATAGATGGTCAGTTGCCTTTTTGGTTATCCCATGGCCTATCCCCTACTGTAGATACATGTTTTGGAGTAAGTATTATGTTTTTCATGTGCTAAATGTAATTGACATTACAGTGATAGAAATACTGTGAAATTAGAGAACCAGATGACAGAATTACAATACTACATATTTTTTAAAAATGTGCTTAGACTCATAGAGGATTAGAATTATAATAATACTGTTGAAAGAGAATATCATACTAATTGGATCCTTTCAAGATGTGATTTGCATTGTATATAAATAATTTTTGCAAGTTTAAATTTGATCTCTATATTGTAAGCCTAGTAAATTGGTCATTTTTCTAAAATTAGCGAATGCTCCAGTGTGATAAGCCATGAGTTAATGGGTTGTGCCTTTTTTATGTTACAGATTAGGTGCTTTAATGATCACCATTGCTGGCTTGAAGTTGCTGCGATCCTCTTTTAGCAGCCCTACGTATCAGTATGTCACAGTCATCTTTACTGTGCTCTTTTTCAAATTTGACTATGAAGCTTTTTCAGAGACCATGCTATTGGATCTCTTCTTCATGTCCATACTGTTCAGCAAGGTAATTTATCACTGAAAGGAATGTCTCTGCCTGCAAAAACTATCCCTCTAAGTAATACACTACTTTGTGAAGAATATGCATATATTTCACTGATTTGTTGTCTTTCAATTAATATCTCTTGTCAGTTTACTTAGAGCATATTAGAATCCCTAAGCAATGCTAGTCATAGTGATTCATAAAAGATATATTTTTTTGCTATAATTAGGAAGATAAAATTAAGTTATATAGAGAAACATTATGTAGGATCTTCCAAAGCAGAGTGTGGTTTTGAATAATTTTAGAAAGATAAGTGGTAATAGTTGAATTTGGGTGACTGGATAGATAGAGGGAATAAATTCTAGTGAAGAATGACCTGCTAACTGAATGAAGACAGTAAGGCCATATGGGAGCAACCAGAAATTAACTTGACAGAATACTCTGAAATTTACAGAATGCTTCTAAAATTCATTATTTTCCTTCAGATAAGTGTTCTTATGCCCTTTATAAATGAGATGACAAAATCCAGATCTTCTGCCTCTTAAAGCAAGGATGTTTCTACTGAAACGTACTACCTTTCTCAAATAGGTTGTATAGTCAGATTGTTTGTAAATTAAATAGTAATTAGATTTTATGGTAACACTGACCACATACAAAGGACTTTGACATATATTATCCCATTTGATAGGTAACAGAGAGCTGAAGCAAATGAACAGCTACAAAATACAGTGAAAGTCCAATTTTAGGCAAGTTAGCCTGGTCAGCCACATTTGGGATGAAATGGGAAAGAGAACCTGAAGGTATGGAGAACAGTTTAAGAGTGTGACAGTGATTCAGATGTGACGGAGGTCTGACCTAGGATGGAACAGTGAAAATGGAAAGCAATTAATTCAAACAAGATTTTAGTGGTAGTCATTTTCAATATTATGATAAATACCCTTTAAACTATTTCAGTAATACATTTGTTTAATCACTAATTTATATGCATTTTAATAATTTATTTCCTCTTGTCAGCATGACTATTAACCAAAAGACAAAACCAAAAAGTGAATCAGAGAATTGTTTGTATAAAGAAGCATGTGGTTTCTCACAAACTGTGATACTTTGATTGAAAATTGTGTTGTGTCTTCTACTGGTTGGAAATAAGTGAAAGCTGAAGTAAAACATAACCTAAGCAATATATGAACTACAGCTGGTACACTTAACTCTACATTAGTTTGGATTTTTTAATCCTTTCATTTGATCCTACATTTGAAAATCCTTTCATTTTCAAATATTCTGGGGGGGAAACGTACCTTTTCTCAGAAGTGTTCTAGATACATAAGCTATTAAAAAAGCAGAGAAAGCTCTGCTCTTAAGGAGTTTGCCTTTTGTATGTCACTAGAAAGAACAGTGATAATAAGCAAGTAATATTTAAGAGATCTCTTTAGATATATTTTTATTCTAAGATATCATTGATTTAATAAACCTTTTAATTAAATGTAGACAAAAATGTTATTATCCTCCCACTACACACCTATTTGAGTACAGTCTGCTTCACATTTAGTTTTCTCAAGTTACTCCTTTTAAGTAGTTCTAAAGACATCATGATAATATACATGTTTCTTCTACTTCATGTGATCCTTTTCACATTAGTACTAGGATTATTGGGCTGGGGATGTGGCTCAAGCGGTAGCGCGCTCGCCTGTCATGCGTGCGGCCCGGGTTCGATCCTCAGCACCACATACCAACAAAGATGTTGTGTCCGCCGAGAACTAAAAAAATAAATAAATATTAAAAAAAATTCTCTCTCTCTCTCTCTCTCTCTATCTCTATCTCTATCTCTCTCTCTCTCTCTCTATCTCTCTCCTCTCTCACTCTCTCTTAAAAAAAAAAAAAGTACTAGGATTATTAGCATGATTTTGACTCATAGCTAAAAATACTGGGATTCATCTGCATTTCTGATGGGGGTGAAATTGTGATTTTTTTTTTCAGTTGATTGATTTTTCAGTGTTGGGAATTGAACCCAGGGCCTTACACATGCAAGCGAAGCCCTCTACCATTGTGCTATATCCCCCAGCCCTGATTTTTTTTAAAATTGGAAGTCAAAACAAGTCATTTGTAAATCAACTTAAGTACTTTAATAAGAGATGAGATGTTTGTCATGTCACCAAATTAGTCAAAATTTTTGCTTTTTAAGATTCTTATGATCTATTTCAAGAGTTAGGTTTTGTATTGCCTGATATGCAGAGACTGACTTGGACAAACACAGTATCCCTGTTTCAGGGTTGAAGATTGTTCAACAACAATAACAGATTCAAAGTTAAATGACTAAAATGTGTATTATGTTTCCATTGACAACAATTGAAATTATGAACAAATGTCAGGTATATGCAACAAAATTCCTATGCAAACAGGCAGTGACAACTGTATACAATTGGTATTTTCACACTCCTTTTGACATTGCCTTTGAAACATACTCAGTTTCCAGAACACTAAAATTTGAGGAAAATGTATTTTAGAATAAAATGTTTTACTTAAGCATTACAGATATCTAGATATATTTTTCCCCCCAAGGATTGTTATTTTGCTTCTTGCTACCTTTCTTCATTTTGCTTGTAAAAGTAGTAATATGATAGGCCAATAGAGGGCATAGAACTTTTTAAATTAATGAAACACAAATCCACAAGTCAGCTAGCCATCTTTGCTTAAAAAAATGATATTTTTATTTAAAAAATAAGTTCAGCATTTTGGCAATAATGAATCTTTTCCTGTTATGCAAATGGCAGATAATTTCAGTGCAGTTTCTCTAGTAGGAAGAAAATATATTTCATAGGACTTTCATTTTCTAATTCAAATATCTGATTAAGTTTTTTGCTGATGGGTTTTCTTTTTCTCCTACAGCTTTGGGAACTCCTCTATAAGTTGCAGTTCGTATATACCTACATCGCCCCGTGGCAGATTACATGGGGTTCTGCTTTCCATGCGTTTGCTCAGCCCTTTGCAGTGCCTCGTATCCTTCAAATTAAAATTATGAGAATGGATAGTAATATCCCTGATGAGAATGTTGATTTAGAAGCAAAACCTTTCATAGGCATAGAATATAGGTTACTATATGTAAATTATGAAACACTCATTCTTTTTAGTTCTGATCTATCCTGATTTAGATTGTTTAACTTATATTAACATGTGTGGCCCACAGATCATCTAAACATGAGAAAAAATTTTGTAGTTAAATAATGCTATAACTTAAAATTCCATATTTTAAATATAAATTAATATGAATGTTATTAAAATCTAAAAATAAAAAATATTTTAATGTACACAGAATGTTTAGAAATATTTTTAATAAACAAAACACTTTTGTGATTATAATTGAACTGTCTGAAATTTTGTATTCTCTTCATTTCTTAAAAATATTTTCTAAATAATAACAAGGTTAATGACACCAGTGATGTTAAAAGGCAGACTTTGATACTTTTAAGGAAAATTAAACCTGAGCATTTCTTTCTAAATTGAAACATGGACTTTTACCAAATATGTATTAGCAAATATTTATTTGGCTCCCTTCAAAGTATTAGATCAATTCATATGTTCCTTGTTTTGTTTTTCTGTTGATATGCCCTTGTGGTGTCCAGTGACATCCTCTTTGTATTTATATTGTGAACTTTATTTCTCTAATCACTGTAATCTAAATGTGTTTGTGAATTTTTTTTTCTTTGTTCTTTATGTCTGTGTGTATGCATGCTCAGATGAATCTTAAGTTCCTTAACCACTTTTCCCATAGATTCAGCCATGTTGTTTATTCAGGCTGCTGTATCAGCTTTCTTCTCTACTCCACTAAACCCTTTTCTAGGAAGTGCAATATTTATCACTTCTTATGTTCGGCCTGTGAAATTCTGGGAGAGAGATTATAAGTGAGTAAACTAAAATGCTTAAAAGACAATTTCTTTTTTATTAGGAAAAACTATTGACAGCATTATTAGTATAAGTTATTTGTGGTTCATAATTGTGAATTTTTTGAGAGGGAGGGTACTGAGGATTGAACCAGGGACACTCTATCCCTGAGCTACATGTTGAAATAGTTTTGCTAAAAATTTATAAATATTTTTAAAATATGAAGATTATGTGATAGAATTGAGGGAAATCACTGTATCTCTTTTTTCTACTTATGAGATTTTAAAAAACATAATTCTAATTTAAGTATACTTATTTTTGCATCCTTTTTTCTTTCAGTGACATTTCTTAAACTTATTCCTCATTAATAATACTCTGAACCTTTATGCTACCTGATATTATAATGAATTACCTCATAGTTTTCTTAGCAGTAGCTGACTATTTGAGATCTAATTTTTTTTTAGTGGTGGCAGTAGGGTTGGGGGAGGTACTGGTGATTGAACCCAGAAGCACTTTACCCCTGAGCTATATCCCTAGCCTTTTTATTTTTTATTTTGAGACAGAATCTTGTTAAGTTGCTTAGAGCCTCTTTAAGTGATACTACCTTTGAACTTGTGATCCTCCTGCCTCAGCCTTCTGAGTCACTAGTTATAAGTGTATGCCACTGTGCCCAGTGAGATCCAAATTTTTATAAGTTATCTCTGCTTTTTCATGAAGGAAAAGTTTTTAATGACCATTTTTGTACATAAAGTAGGCTTAGTTCCTTTGAAAGAGCTTATGCAAATTTATGATTCTGTTGGCCATCTCCACGAATGCTTTTTTTCCTACATTTTCACACATTGGCATTTTTACTGGGGAAAAATTGTGGTCTCATCTTTGAAACAGTGAATTGGCTTGTGGGTTTGAAATTTTGATTACAGTTCCTTACCTAAAACCACACATAGTATTTCTCATTTTGGCAAATTTCACTGTTTTTTGCATCCTATTCTGGACCAACTTCCAACCCAAAGTCATATCCTGTGATAGCAGTTATTTAAGTATTGGTCTCAGAATCCCTTAGTAATCTTAAAAATTGTTGAAAATTCCATAGGTTTAAGAATAACTATATTTTCCCACCAACCAAAAAAAATTGGAAGAATTCATTGTTTTTCAGCACTGCAAATCTTTTAATGTCTGGCTTGTTAACAAACAGATGAATTCTTTTATCTGCTTCTGTAGTCATTCTGTTGTTGTTATGCTATTTTGCTTGAAATATATGAAGAAAATTTGGCCTCACTCAGGTAGTTGAAAAAGGAATATTTCCATAGACATTTAAAGCAATTGTGGATATTTTTTCCTTGATCCTTCACTAAAACTCAACAAATGGTAAACTCTTAAAAGTAAGCACAGTGTGGAATTTAAATTGTATCTGTATTTTTGGAATTTTGTAACATCAATATTTATGTATGTATCTTGTATTTTGAATGAATCTTTTTATTACTCATGTATTATTTTRTAACATTATATATTATTCACTTAGAAAAATATTGTTTTACTGAGTAAAAGACATCTTCTAAATGTTGACACAGTTCTTTATGTAGTGCTTAAAAAATATATTCATTAATATTACTACCAATCTCAAAAGAAATAATAAAGTATTGGGAAGCCATCAGGCTCATGGTGATGGAAACAAGTTTTTTCCACATTGTAAAATTTTGCTTGAATTTTGTCAATGTGAACAGATATTACCAGTTGTTTTCCTTGAAATGACAGATTCATTTTCTTTGTTGTTGAGAAATGTTTATTAAATAACCCATATGAATAATTTTCAATTTCCTCAACAGCTGTTCAAGTAAAAATGGTGTGTGTGTGTGTTTTTTTTTTTTAAAGCTGCTAGCTTAGCTTATAATTCTAATGATTGCACACATGCTTTCCCTCAGAACAGCCATTCAGAATGCAGCAGAAGTGCTTTCTTTGTATTTTCTCAGAGAACATTAAAGAGGCCATACTAAGGAACTGAGATTTAATAAAATTCACATTTTTACGGCCTTATTAGGGATATTTTAAGTGAAACTGTCCATTTTTTTTTTTTTTTTTTTGTGCATGTGTGGCAGTGAGGGATAGTACTGTTTGGTGTTGCTGCCTTGATTTGTGCTCAAACATCAGCTGTTTTACCCACTGTGCTTCTGCACTTTCAGTGCAGTTGTCAAACCAGGGGAAAGGGGCCAATAACAGCTCAGCATCATTAAAAGAATAGTTTTGTGTTTTTATATTTTTTTTTGTAGTTGGTAGATGGACACAATACCTTTATTTTATTTATTTATCTTTATGTGGTGCTGAGGATTGAACCCAGGGCCTTACACATGCTAGGCAAGCACGCTACCACTGAGCAACACCCCCAACCTTAGAAGAATAGTTTTGATCTGGAAAAGTCCTTGAAAAAATCCTGGTTTCACAGTCTACATTTTTGGAACCACAGTTCTAAAGACTAGACACAATACCACTGAGCTTTAATAGGTATGCCTTCCCCTTGCAAAGAATGTTTTATGTACTGTGAATTTCTGAGAACTATACGCACCCTGCATTTTTTCATTCTGGTCTCTTACCCCTCCCTGCACTGTACCCACCCCTGTATGTCTTTTTACACACTCTACAGTTACATCTGCTAGGGGGAGAAAAACCTGCTATGTTTATGTGTGGTAAAGGTTAAAAGACTGTCTGTAAAATTGTGCTGCCAGCTAGGGATGTAGCTTAGTGGTAGAGTACTTACCCACCATGCATGAGACGGGCTCGAGCCCCGGAACTACAAAAAGTAAACAAAGTGTGCTGCCAAGGAGTTTATCAATATATTAGGAACAGAGATTTTCCTAAAGCAATATTATTTGATCTGGATCCTATAGTTCCCTCCTTGTGTTTCGTTTGGTTTCCGTTTTGGGTTTTGCAGTACTGGGGATTGAACTCAGGAATGCTCTACCACTGAGCTACAAACCCAACCCTTTATATTTTGTATTTTAAGACAGGATCTCAGTTGCCCAGGCTGTCCTTGAATTTGTTGATCCTCTTGCCTCAGCTTCCCAAGTTGCTTGGTTTATAGGCATGCCACTGTGTTCAGTTCCCTTACTCTTATTAATTTTTTTTAAGTGTAAAGAAATTAAATGTCTTTTATTTTGTCCTCTTTAGCACAAAACGAGTAGATCATTCAAATACCAGATTGGCTTCCCAGCTTGATAGAAATCCAGGTAATAACTCTACTTGTGAGTAAGGCCTTACATTAAAGATTTTATTTGTCATGTGTATGTAATATGTAACTATACATTTATTTATCTTTGTTAGAATTCTTTGAGTTCCAACTAGTCATTTTTAAAATAATATCCTTTGCTTTGTTTTACTTTAGCAAAGTATAGTATATATGAATTAGACTATCTCCAATTGGTATGGTTATCTTTTTTTTTTTTAAATGAGATAGGTTCTTAATCTGTTACCCAGGCTGTCTTTAAATTTGTGATCCTCTGGCCACCAGAGCAGCTGGAATTACAGGCATATGCTACTATTCCTGGCTTATACCTATCCTTAATAAAATGCATTTAAAGAATGCTGATGGGAAATTTTGAAACACCATTGAAAGGTTATTCTTACATAGATTAAAAAGTAGAAAGCATTTAAAGTAAAATTGGTCAAGTGTGTTGAAGGATATACAGCACATTTCATTAATATGTTGGCTGAATTCATAAGTAAATGTTAATGTAATGTTAGTTTTTTATGTATCGAGTTGTCATCTATGAGGGACCAAATAACCACTTAGGATATGGCTTGAATGGATGGCACTTTGGTGACATTACCATTATTTAAAATCTGGTTCTTAGTTTTATTATTTGGGAAACATGATTTTATTGGGCTCTCCAATAGTAATCTGCCAGAGAAAATTAATTTCCCTGTCACAGTTGTGAAGGACTAACAAACAGCCAGAACCTAAGTGTGTTAAAGAGACATTACTCTCAAATAGACTGAAATATTTGTATCTATTTGACTTATAAGTTTCCTTGAAAATATTATATGCATCTGAAAAACCAAACTATAAGGATCTAATTGTTTTTTGTTTTAAAGAGAGAGAGAGAGAAGAGAGAATTTTTTTAAATATTTTTTTTTTCAGTTTTCGGTGGACACAACATCTTTATTTTATTTTTATGTGGTGCTGAGGATCTAACCCAGCGCCCCGCACATGCCAGGCAAGCGCGTTACTGCTTGAGCCACATCCCCAGGTCTCTAATTGGTTTTTAATTTTAATACTTAAGGAGTGCTAGCTGTTTGATATTAATGACTGTTACCATCACATTCTGGTAGAGAAAAGAACCATCTCAAGTCTAGTGGATACTATAAGGGGCTGGAATTGTCCTGATGCTTCTCACAGGACAAAATCACTTTTGTATTGGGCATGCATAGAGTTAGATACAATCATTTTACTGCCATTAGAACCTAGGGTTCCCCTTTCATTATTTTAATATTTAGTTTGAGTTTAAAGTAATTACTAAGGTTTGACGTTTTGCCATTCTCTAGTACTGTCCTTTGGGGTACCCACTTACAGGGTGTTGCTTTTGATGGGTTACTTCTAGAGGAGGCCATCTCATTCATGCTGTTTTATACTAATGTTTTTCTTACAGGAGAACCCTAATGTACTATTTGTAGGTTCTTTTTTTCTACATTTGCATGTACAGTTTATTTTTGCTAAATATCAAACATCTTGATATTCAGGATCTTTTTGACTAACTTCTCTTTGTTCGGACTGTCTTGTTCAAGTCTTATATATTTTACCCACTTCCTTTACCAAATAATCTTTTTGTTCTCCTTCTGAATATTTTCTTTTTCATTTATCTGTATAGTTTTAATTTTAAGGCACATGTCATTGAATAGCAGTAACTGTACATGAATTATAAGTAATGAACTGTTAAAAAGGTGGAAAAGTTTTTAGATTGTATCTAATCAAATTCCCACATTACATGGATGGGAACCCTAGGAGAAGTTATGTAACCTCTCTCAATTCTGAAACCTCGCTCATTATCCTGTTTCATTTTTATGTAGAAATTGTAAGGGTATGAGTATTATTTATCTATTCAAGTAAATATAAATATAACCTGAGCTGGAAGTTAGTATTGATATTTTTAACAATCTCATTTGTCAGTATGAAAGGGACTAAGGTAAAATCTGACATTTTGGTTTTTTGTTTAATCCCTTTTTGTAGGATCAGATGACAATAATCTGAATTCCATCTTCTATGAACATTTAACCAGATCCCTGCAACACAGCCTCTGTGGTGATTTGTTACTGGGACGGTGGGGAAACTACAGTACTGGGGATTGTTTCATCCTTGCCTCTGACTATCTCAATGCATTAGTACACCTTATAGAAATAGGCAATGGTCTCGTCACTTTCCAGCTGCGGGGCCTGGAATTCAGAGGTAGGACATTGATTCATCTTTTATTTTTATACTGTACTTCTTTTCTACAGCATCTAAGTTTTGTGTGTTTATATCTCAAATTGATAGTGTTCATAAAATTAGATTTTTGGGATTATGGAAAGAGAAAAGTTGTCAAAAGAGTAATTATTAGCCCCTCGCCCAATTTCATAGTCACTAGAGAGTAATTTTTTGGTGTTGCATTATATGTGAATGTAGTAGCATTAGTATACAATGGACTTATTTACCTGGAGATATTAAACTTCTGTTGCTCTTTGCTTGGTCTTTTGCCAGGCCCTTTTGTGATAAATTGCATATGTTTGCTCAATGGCTAGTGGCATAGAATGTTGTGTTGTGTGAGACAGAGTGTTTGACTGAGTGATGTTCATTGAGTTGCCATGCCATTGTCCTCAACAATTTTTTTCAATTAAAACGTGAAATTCACCTAAAATTAACCACTTAAAATGAAGAAATCACTGGCATTTTGTACATACATTTGCAGCGTTCTGCAAAATGAAGAAATCACTGGCATTTTGTACATACATTTGCAGTGTTCTGCAACTCCCACCTCTGTCTAGTTCCAAATTAAACCTCATGTCTATGAAGTAGTTACTCCTTATGCCTCTTCCACATGCTCTCCACAGTTTTATTTACTGACAAATGAAGCTGTTTCTTCACAGAAACTGGTACATTCAGAAACATATCAGCTTCTTGTTGTCAACTCCTAGAAGTTAAATAACTTCTTTTTTGTTTTATTAAATAGAGCTAACATTTGTTACACACACTGTGTGCCAGATACTGTTCTGTGCACTTTACCTGTATTAACTCATTTTTTTCATTTTTTAGTAGTTGTACATAATGATGGGATTTATTTTTGCAGTCATACAGGCACACAATATAACAACATAATTTGGCCAATATCACTCCCTAGCAGTTTCCCTCCTCCCCATCTCCTACTCCTTTATCCCTTTCCTCTGATCTCCCTTTGATTTCTGAGATCTGCCCCCACCTTCCTTTTCCTTTTTCCTCTCTAGCTTTCACATAAGAGCGAAAACATGTTTCTTGACCTTCTGAGTTTGACTTATTTCATTTAACATAATGATCTCTAGTTCCATCCATTTTCTTGCAAATGATGTAATTTCATTTTTCAGTATGGCTGAGTAAACTTCATTGTGTAAACTTCATTGTGAATATATACCACAGATTCTTTATCCATTTCTCTTGTGATGGACACCTAGACTGATTCCACAGTTTGGCTATTGTGAATTGTGCTGCTATAAACATGGTTATACATGTATCACTGTGGTTTTATTACTTTAATTCTTCAGGATAAACACTGAGGAGTGATAAAGCTGGGTTGTATAATGGTTCCATGCCTTATCTTTTAAGGAACCTCCATTCTGATTTCCATAGTGGTTGTATTAATTTACAATCCCACCAACAGTGTAAAAGTGTTCCTTTTTCTCCACATCTTAAGTTGAATAACTTCTTTTTTTATTTAAATAGTTTTAGTTGTAGATGGACACAATACCTTTATTTTATTTACTTATTTTTATATGATGCTGAGGATCGAACCTAGTGCCTTACACATGCCAGTCAAGTGCTCTACCACTGAGCCCCAGCCTCAGCCCCAGCTGCCTTAAGTTGAATAACTTCTAAGCATAAAATAGAAACTTCTTTTATAGGAATTTCAAATCCTGTGTTTGAATATCTTTTGGTGTATGGGAACATTTGGACTAAAGAGCTTTAGAGAGTTTTTGTTCTATCCTAAGAAGTTTTTTGTAGTGTTTTTAGTCTGGAGTAGGAAATAAGAAAACATTTGACTAGGAAGAGAATCAATCAGATCTCTGCCCTAAAGGTTAATTTTTACCTTGATATTGAATCAGAAAGTTTGTTATGGAGTTCTATGGTACAGCAAGTGCTTATCTAGAAACCATTCTGTTTTTGTTTTTATAGTTGTAGATGGATAGAATGCCTTTATTTATTTATTTTTTAGTGGTGCTAGGGATCAAACCAAGTGTCTCGCACATGATAGCCAAGCACTTTGCCACTGAACTACAGCCCTAGCCCTAGAAACTACTCTGTTAACTAGTACTTATACAGTGCTCAAATTGTCATAAATATTGATATTTTTCATTTGTAACCCTTTGTCTCCCCTCTTCTGTTCCTAAAATATTCTCTTCTTGTCGGGTGGATGTTTGATTCTGCCTTTCCATCCCAACCTTGCACCTTTATTCCATTTACTCTGGACCTTAATTCCATCTACCCCCATCCTGTTCAAATGTAATCCAAGTGGACTTATGTAAAAGTCTACACTGAACCCTCAGACTTACCGCTGCTAGAACTTTTAACTTCCTTTAACTTTTGGGACCTGAGGATTTCACCTAGTTTTTTAACTTAATTAAAACAACAAAATGCATGGGGAGGCTTTTTTCTAGCCTTTACTTTAGTGAAATGGAAGAAGGTCTTTTTATCACTTGGTCTTATCTACTATCGTACTTATCTACTATAATATTGATGATAAATTCATCAAATCAAAAAATGATACAAATTCTCATTTTCCCAACTTTCCCTCTCTGGTACTGAATAGATTGGAATAAGTTTTTGGACAAATGCTTGGCTGTTCAAGCTGTAGTTGTTTATCAATCAAAATTCAAGTCAAATTTGAAAACATACTATGCCTTACTATCTGAACACATGGCTAGATTTGGATAGCAAGGATAGCTGTAATTCATTCAGATGTTGTGTTGGTATTTGGGTTTTCTTTTTCTTTTTTTTTAGAGTTGATCATGTCATTCCTGTGCATGAAAGTTTTCAGTGACTCCTGATACACTTAAATTAAAATTCAAATACTCTAACACATCCTACAATGCTAAATGATTTGGGTTTGCCATTTTCTGCATTCTCACTCTACCCCACTCTCCTCGCCCACTCTAGTCACCTTTCAGTTTCTTAGATGTGTTCAGTTCTTAACTAAGAACTCCTTGTCACCCCACATTTTGCCCCCCAGAAAGCCCCATCATCTCCCTTATCCCACCAACCTCCCATCTGGCTAATTCCTTAATTATACTTAGGGATTACCCTGTGTGTCACTTTGCAAAGAGCCTTCCCTGACCACCTGTCCCACATGATTACATTTCATCTTACCTTGTTTTAATTTTCTTAGTTTTTATCACAGAAATAATTTTATACTTATTTATGTTTATTTGTTTAAAGTTTATTTCTTCTCTAGCCCTGGGGGTTGGTAAACTTTTCCTGTTGGGAGTTACATGGTAAATATTTTAGACTTTCTGCCCTTTCTCTGTTGGATACTCTTTATTGTTGTTTTTAAATAATCTTTAAAAAATACAAAAACCATCCTTAACTTGGATTTGGCCAAGGCTGAAGTTGGCCAAACTTCAGGGGCAGAAATTACATCTGCTTCAATTGTCATTTTGTTTCAGCACTTATCACACACAGCAGTTAATATCTAATAATTTTGCTAACATTGTAGATTGACTAAAATGCTGTCTTCTCCTTTTCATTCCAGAACTCTTCACGGGTGTGATTATGTTCTTGCTCCTCAAATATTGATGTGATTCTTGGTTATCATTGTTATCCCTTGTCCCACCTACTTCCTTCTACCCCAAATATTATTCTACCCCAAGAGTATTCTCTTGCCAAACAAATATGTGGATCTGTTGAGTGTTTTGGTGTATTTCTGGGGTATGCTCAATTACACAAATTTAATTTTGGTGGTTAATTTTAAGCAGTATTTAACTGAACAGATTTTTTGATAAATTTCCTATAGGTCTTAGTTAAACCCATTCATGTATTTTTTATTTCCATTTTTATTTTACCAATAATTTCAAGATTCTTTGCCCTGCAAGTCTTATGTGAAAAATTAGAGTTACCAGTTTATTCTCCATATTATAAATTTCTGATTACAGCATCTACCGTTGTCACTATTTGTGTTACTTGTATCAAGAACACTTTTCCAATTCTAAATTACCGTGTCAAAAGTTTGTTATRTTGATTGTATTCTTTTACTTTTTGTTCAAATTTATTGAATATGTTCACTTTTCAAGATTTTTAGTTCTTTTCATTTTTACTTCTAATACTTACTCTGAGTGGCTGAAAGACATAGCTAATCCAGGGAACAATTGGGATGGTTTCTCATAGATATGCTAAAATCACTTTGCAAATCTCAAAATTCTTCCTTCAATTATAAATATTTTTATACTTATTATTGACTTTATTTTCTGAGGAAAATATGTTACTGGGGTATGTTGAAGCTGTAGATAGTCTCATGGGAAAGGGGTTGATATATGAGAACAAAAACATCCTCCTTAAATTTAATTATCCCATTCACTTATTCTGCTACTCTGAAAAAGGACCTTATTGAACTTTAGAATTTCCAAATTCCCTTTTGCCATATCTGTTCTCCATACACCACTAACCAACTAACATGCACAACATACAGCCCTCATTATGCTATTTCCTCATTTAAAAACTGTTCATCAGCCAGGCATGTGCCCAACAGCTCAGGAGGCTGAGGCAGCAGGATCACAAATTCAAAGCAGCCTAAGCAGCTTAGTGAGGTCTTGTGCCCAACTATAACCAAAAAAAAATATTAAATAAAAGGTCCATTGACAACTAAAAATATTTTTTAAAATTACACATTTTTATATGTTGTAAAGCATGTATGTGTATGTATATTGATAGTCAACCACAGCATGTATTCCTGTGAATGTTAGGTTCAAGACAAGGGCTTTTCTTATCACCACTGTGTAGAATGACTTTGTTGGCAGTTGTAACTAAGCAAGAAGATGAAATAATAAAATTGTTGAAGATCATAGAGTACTAAACAATAAACAACCAATAAAAAAAATAAAATTAAAAAAAAAGAATACTAAACAATACTGTTCCTTAGCTTTGCCCAAATAACTTTTTTATCCTTATTTTTCTAAAAACTTTTTTAGTTATAGATGGACCTTTGTTTTATTTATTTATATGCAGTGCTAAGAATTGAAACCAGTCCCTCATACATGCTAGGCAAACGCTCTGCCACTAAGTCATAACCCCAGCTCCTAGTCTTATTTTTTTTTTATCATCACACCACCACCATCTATATCTCTTAAAATAGTGGTTTTAAAACCTGCTTGGTGTATATATTTTTCCTTTAAAGGAAAATTATTCAGTAGGATTTGTTTTAAATATAGTCTAACTTAGATATGTGCTACATGCGATTAAGTGTAATAATTTGTAGTCTTTACATAATGTAAGAAACATACAGATTAAATGGAAGCAAGACTGCAGAATAAAATAAAAATGAACATTAATGGAATAGTGATATTTTACTGATGCTTGATTGCTGTGTCTAATTGTGTACTTAGTCTGTTTTTGTATTAGTACTTTTGTATTGTATGATTATTTGTCAAGTATCTTGTATAAAAAATTGTAACTTCAAAGATGTATTTGCTAGTACAGAATAATCAGAACTCACGCCTAATAGAAATTAGGTAAGCAGGTAAGCCTCAAATGCTGACTCTGTAATCTTATCAATTATTGTTATAATTGGGAACTGAAAAAAATTAATTTTTACTTAACACTAAATTGTAATATACTAGTATAAGTTATAGAGCCAAATAACTTTGATACATATAGTATTTCTGCTTGAAGTATGGATGATTCCAAATGGAGCTCAGATTCTTCTGAGTTCTGCATGACTAGCTAGCTATATTCCTGTACCTGATTCTTCTGAGTTCTGCATGTCTAGCTAGCTATATTCCTGTACCTGGGTTGATTCAGTTTTTTTTTCCATTGGGTTTTAGTTTTGTCTTATATTTTTGCAGTACTGGGAATTGAACCTAGGGGTAGGCATGTGCTAGGTCAGCACTCTACCACTGAGCTACACCTCACCTCACCTCAACTTGGTGAGAGAAGGTCTTGCTAAGTTCGCAAGGCTGGTCTCAAACTTGTGATTCTCCTGCCTCAGCCTCCCAAGCCACTGGGATGACAGACAGACATTATCACACCCAACTCCTGTGTTCTTTAAGAGATGTACTTTTACTCATTTTGTTTTCATTTGATATGAATGCAGTTGTAAACACATTTGAAAAGGTTGGAAATTCATGAGTCTTAACTAAAGATGTTCCTTTACTGCACAAACTCCCAGCATCTTTAATGTGCTAATGCACATTGTTACTCTACAGGAAGTGAACATATAGTATGCCTCTACAATTTGTACATGAATGTTCTAAAGTAAATCAATTACATACTTTTAGTTGCTATAAAATATAACTCTTTTCTAAATTTCTTGTGTTTTTGAGCCATTAATTTTTCCCAGCCTTTGTTCATCTGTGTGTGTGTGTGTGTGTGTGTGTGTGTGTGTGTGTGTTTGTGTTTCTCTCTTTCTTAAAGGTACCTACTGTCAACAACGGGAAGTAGAGGCCATTACTGAAGGTGTAGAAGAAGATGAAGGATTTTGCTGTTGTGAACCTGGCCATATTCCTCATGTACTTTCATTTAATGCTGCTTTTAGCCAACGCTGGCTAGCTTGGGAAGTGATAGTCACTAAGTATATTCTGGAGGGGTATAGCATCACTGATAATAGTGCCGCTTCTATGCTTCAAGTCTTCGATCTTCGGAAAGTACTCACTACTTACTATGTCAAGGTAAGGGTTGGTGCTTAGTTAGATCTTTGGATAACGGAGGCATTTGGGAAACACAAATACCAATTTTAAATTCCTGCTTTGTTTTTAAGTAGTGGTTTAAATTATCTGGTATCCAGAAAAGTCAATAAAAATATACCTACAAAGGTCTTAATAGTCTTTCTTTTGTGGAACTTACTCCATATGTTCATTAATAAAAGTAGCTAGCATCTGTAGCTTCTGTTTTTGGCTCTATGCTAAGGAATATTCACACACATGCATGCATACACACACATGTGTTTTTTGCTTTTTGTTTGTTTGTTTGTTTTCACTTTTTTCCTCCAGTATAATAATCAAACCCAGGGCTTTCTGCCATTGAGTTATGTTCTCAGTCCCTGCCCCCCACTTTTTTTTTTTTTTTATTAGACAGGGTCTCAAGTTGCTGAGTTTGGCCTTGACCTTGAAATTGTGATCCTTTTGCCTCAACCTCCAGAACTACAGGGATTACAGGCATATACCATCACCTTCAGTTCTTAATTTTTAAAAGAAATCCTGCTTTTGTACTTTATAGATAAACAACTTAAGGATCAGAAGTTAACTTGTCCAAGATCCTCTAATAGCAAATAAAGTTTGGGATTTAAAATTCAGGCATATCTGACTCTTGCACCTTTGCTGTTAACCACTGCTTTGTACTACATTCAACAGACTGAATAAAAGTATTGCAAAGTTCAGGAGGCCCCTAAGGCCACCCTCACTTCTGACAGCAACTTCAATTTCAGAGTCCCCAAGACCATTCTTAGGTTCAGGGATCTGTTAGAAGGATTCATAGAAGTCAGCAAAGCTGTTTTACTCACATTGTACTCGTGTTATTACAGTGGAAAGATACAGATTAATATCAGTCAAGCACAGTGTCCAGAGATACTATGGTGAGCATTTCCAGTTGACCTCTCCCAGGGGAGTTGTGTAGATGCCTATTTTTCTCAGCACCAAGGGGTGGCAATAATATAAGAGTTCTGCCAAACCATGGAAGCTCTTTTGAGCTTGGGGCCTTGAGTCTTCATTGGAGTACGGTCATGTGGAACTGATGATCCAAGTTTCTAGGACTTCTGGAGGTCAGCTTCATACTGTGTGGTTCTAGGCCCCCAGCCAAACAGACTCTTACCAGGCAAGATATTTAAGGACTTAGAGGTTACTTCCCAGGACCTCAAATCAAAGGCTAGACCTCTCTCATTGGGCAAAGCTAATCTTTTACTGAACAAAATATTCTATTTTTTGTTAAAGGTCTTATGGAAAAATAGCATGGTAGTGGTTTGGGGACTTCTAGGCAAAGCCAGTATTTTTTTAAGAGGGAAGTGTGTGCTAAGCTTTAATGATCCACATTTGAATTTTCTGTATTTTATGCTCTTACCTCTAAGTTGTACCTTATTTATGTTGATTGAGGTGAATCTTGAGCTTAGCATTTAAAAAAATTTTTGGTTCAACCCAACCTCCAGAGGCTAGAGAGATTGAGCTTACAATATTGTGTGTTTGTGGCATTTTCCCTTTATATATATTTATATGTACATGTATGTATTTCCATTGTTTTATGTTTTTAACTATATTTCTATAATTTCACTCTAAGAATACCAGATGGTTTTAGTAATTTTATGATAAAATTTTCAAACTAAGGGCAGCCAGTAAATTTTCTTTATCTGTCATAAATATCCTAAATTCAAAAGCACTAAAATCAATAAGCTACAAGTTGCCTTGCTGAATTTATAGTTGTGGTTTTACAATATCAAATGTGGGGCCTGAGGTATATTATGGCATTCTTAAAATGTGTACATGGAGTGTTGAGCTAGAAATAAAATATTTTTGGTTTTAGTATCTGAAGAAACAGTTGAATTTATTACACTGAAAAATCAAAGTTTATTCAAATTGCATATTTTAATGGCAGCATCTGTATATATTAGCCATAGTAATTACTAATATAATACAAAGAGAGTGAGGGTTTACTTTGTCATTCCATGAGTTGTTGTTTTTTTGTTTTTATAGGGTTTTGTAGTGCTGGGGATTAAACTCAGGTCCTTGTATATGCAAGGCAAGCACTCTCCCAACTGAGCTATATTCCCAGCCCCATTCAATGAGTTTTTATTTTTAACATACTTTTTAATCAAATTTTTWAAAATGTCTTCAAAGTGCCATTTAATTAAATTTTTCCTGTCTTTTACATGTTAGGGTATAATTTATTATGTTACAACRTCCTCTAAGTTAGAGGAGTGGCTAGCTAATGAGACAATGCAGGAAGGACTCCGTCTGTGTGCAGATCGAAATTATGTTGATGTGGACCCCACCTTTAATCCAAACATTGATGAAGATTATGATCATCGGTTGGCAGGCATATCCAGAGAAAGTTTCTGTGTGATTTACCTTAACTGGATAGAGTACTGTTCTTCTCGGAGAGCAAAGGTAAGATTGATTTATTTCATTTGCAACTCTTTGAATCCAGGTTTTTCCAGAGGTGGAAAGAATATCTCTGTTAGTTATTAAGAGGTCAGTTTTTCCTGAGCTTCCTCTTTCTGATATTAGAGAACCTGTCAGATCTTTACACTTGGTTCAGACCAACTCTGCCAAACAGGTTAAGAAAAGTGGCCCTTCTCATTTCTTTTGCAGTGTCCTAATCTCATTGTTCAGGTAGCACCCCTTCACTGTGTACATGCACGTGCATATACATAAATTCAAATTTCATGCATTATTCTCCAAAATCTATTCCTTCTTAAGGGCTGCCCACCAAACTTAAGAATAATTAAATATCTTTACCCTAAATACAAAGGCTAGACCAGTGCTTTCTAGAACTTTGAGTGATGATGGAAATGTTCTTTGCTATCCAGTATTACATGTGGTTTTAAATCCTTTAAATGTAATCAAATACAACTAAAGAACTAAACTTTACATTCACTTCATTTTAATTGATCTAAATATAATAACTCACACGGCTAGTGGCTACTGTTTTGGATAGTGTACATCTAGATCAGTGACTTAGGGATGTACATATAATTGTAGAAACAAATGACCTATGGGCCTCACTTGTGAAATTTTGATTCATTAAGTCCAGACCAGGGTTATAAAATCTTGAGTCACCTGGGTGATTTTAATTCAGGTGTTTCCATCTACACATTTGGACAGCCCATTTTATCCTAAAGGTAAGATACTTTACAGAGTTTAGCAGCAATCTCTTCCTTCTGGTCTTAGGGCACTCATAGCAGCATCACATCCCTGGTCAAACTGCATATAACAGAACCACAGTGTCAAGGCCTGTGATTCCAAATCTAATTCCTGTCACCACTATTGCTTTAGAAGCAAAAGCCTTGTGTAAATCACCAGCAGCCTATTTAACTTGATAACATGGAGCATAGTAAATACCTTGACAACCAGTTCCTTTATTGTGATCTGGGATGTGTACACTGGCCATGTTAAGATTTAGCACCTTGTTTTAGTCCTTAGTTTCTGTCTTCTAGATACCCCATCAATCAGCACCTTTTTTTTTCTTTCTTTCTTTTGTATTGGGGAGTGAACCCAGTGATGCTTAACTACTGAGCTACATCCTTAGCCCCTTTTAAAAAATATTTTATATTAAGACAGGATTTTGCTAAGTTGCTGAGGCTGTCTTTGATCTCGTGATCCTCCTGCCTCAGTCTCCTGAGCTGCTGGGATTACAGGTGTGTACCACCATGTCCAGCAATATCTTTTTTCTTTATCAGAAAGAATGGGAACATCCTTATATTTCCTGTCTGAGCAGTAGTCTTTGAACTTTTATGCTAGATGTACAACATAAAATTACCAGAATGACATGTTTTTAAAGAAGGAATAATGACTAGAATAAAATAACCTCATAAGAGGTTCAAAAACATTAGTAGACAATACTGGAAATGGAGGACCTCAAAGTTTAACCCTTTTTCCAGGTGTCTTAACAAATAATTTTATTTTTTATACATGAAATATACCTATGATGTTTTGCATATTCTTCTCAAATCTCTGGATTTACTTTGTAGCAGAACTACAGAGAGTAGTCATATTTTAATATCCATTCTCTGGCTGTCTACTCATTCAGAAATAGGCTGCATCCTACTTACTTAAGGATCCTTCTCTTAAAGATAATTACTGAGATCATGGACATGTGAAAGTCTTTCTGATTGCTAATATAGCACATATTCAAAAAGTATATCTGAAAATGTGGATATCCCCAGTCTCTTCAAAGAGCTTATTACCAGATTAGCCTAGCTTATATTCTACTCTTTGCAGTCCCTTTAGGAAAATTATTAGTATTGTTTTTTTTTTTTTCCAGCTGTATGCTCTTTGTTTTCTGCTCTAGTTTTTCTTTTTAAGTTTTCTAGTTTTTCTTTAAGTGAGATAATCCCCAGCTCCTTAAGATCATGCATTCTGTTCTCTGAATCACCATTCCCAGTAACCTCTTCCTGGGGAAGCTCAGTAAGCCATAGATTGACTTCAGGCTCTCAGACTTGTACTGGAATAGTAAGAAGCTGTCTTCATATTCTTCTCCCACAGTTTCCTTCCAAGGCAGTGTTCTAACTTGCATATTATACGGAAATTAAAAAATCATTTTTTCTTCTCTAATTGTGTAGTAGTTGAGTTCTTTCTCCTTTCTGTAGTTTATTAGATATCTTCTGATTTGTTAAATATTTTTATACCTTTCTGATAATTAACGTTCTTTGGTTTTTAAAGCCTCTAGATGTGGACAAAGATTCATCACTGGTGACTCTCTGTTATGGACTCTGTGTTCTAGGACGGAGAGCTTTGGGAACTGCATCCCATCATATGTCCAGGTAAAGCAGGCATTTCTGTTTTCAAGAAGAGTATGAGAAGCTATATCTGAAATAATTTTTGTGGAAGCAGTCATTTTATGCTACTTTATTCCAAGTCTCCTTTGATTTTATATTTTTGTAGGTCTTTTTGCTGAACACTATTGAATACTATTATATATGTGGTTGACAGAACTGGCTTTTAAAATTCACATATGAACAACTATTAGTAATGATAATTTAATGGATTTAAGGCATTTTAAAATATAATCACCCTATAAAGTTGACTTGGGTGGAGTTCCATTTACATCTATTTTTTTAATTGTAAATTGACAAAATACTTTTATTTTATTTATTTACATTTTTTTTAATATGTGGTACTGAGGATCRAACCACTTGCCAGGCAAGCACTCTACCACTGAGCCACAGCCCCTACATTCATTTTTCTAATAAATTCACCTACTGTATTTTTTTTCATTTTTTTCTTGCAATCCTTGTCCAGAGCATTTATATTTTTAACATAATTATATATTAGATGTGGGGACTCTAAATATAAACTAGATTTATTAATATATACATCCAAATGAATTAGAATTAAGAAATATGCCTATTTTAATTTTTTTCTGTAATTACATGTTTATATTAGACTCTTATTAATTTATTTTAATTTATAAGCTCTTTATCTGCTGTTGTTTATTTTTACGGACTCACTATTAAAGTGCTTCGTGTACAAGGGTCCCAGATAAAACTGACCCCATCTGTTGTGATTGTGATTTAGGAATTCTAACTTTAGTTCTGTATTTTCAAAACACTCCCAGATGATTCTGATACACAACCAGATGTAAGCATCAGTGTCTTGGAGACCTTTGTCAAAATATATCAACTTTTATTTCTAATCTTAACAGTAATTTAGAGTCATTCCTCTATGGATTGCATGCCCTATTTAAAGGAGATTTCCGTATTTCTTCAATTCGAGATGAATGGATCTTTGCTGACATGGAATTACTAAGAAAAGTAGTAGTCCCTGGAATCCGTATGTCCATTAAACTTCATCAGGTAAAAAAATGAATATTTTTTTTAATTCATCATAGGGTTTACTAGAGCTTCTTCATTTGACTTCTACATTATACATTTAGGAACATCTTGAGATGTACTTAATTCTCAAAAAAACGTGATTTGTGGCAAGACATTTAATCTTAAAGAGTCCTGAACCTGTGTTTCTAAATGTATATAGTAAAATTGAATATTAATATTAGAGAGTGACCAATTTGACATGAAGAAAAATTTAAGCAATGACAAGCTGAAGCCTTTGAGCCTTATAATACTTGTTTTGCCTTCAAATGATTATGATTTAGGTCTCCTCCTGAGTGAATATCCACCCACTCCAAATGTAGTGTGGTAATACTTCAGTGTTGTAAGTGCTGTTACTGAGCTAAGTTTCACTTACAGTGTTACATAGAATAATAGGTGGTTAGGACAAATCTAGCCTTAATAAATTAATTCTACTAGGCTATTAAAATTAAATTTAGGTCCCACAATGCATTTCCAAGTTCTAGGATCATTCAAAAAAATTTTGTGAAATTATACACTGGCACTTGTTCCTCCTCATTTCACTTGACTATAGTTATCAGATCTGATGGTAGGGACCAGATGGTAAATACATCTGCTCTGCTCAAATCTGATTGAATCATACCTCCCCTCCCCCGAGAAGGTGAATTACTCTTCAAATGATTTTACTACTATCATAAATATTGGATTAAACTATTATTCCATATTCATTAGGAGCATTACTAACTTAGGATAGGCTGTTTGAAAACCTCTGTGAAAAATGGAATGGAGAAAAATCTTCATTTAGAGTCTGTGGTCTTTGTTCAGATTAGCTTTAGAGTTTTGAAAGAAAATTCAGTGCATTTAAGAAAAAGATAATGACTTCATGTTTAAATGTTTTTTAAACTTCAGAATTTCTCAGATTGTAATCCCAAAGAAAAGAAATATTTGAACAAGATTAAACCTTCTCCATTTTTAGCAAGGGGCTAATGATTTACAACTTTGTGTCCATTTTATTTAGAATGTGACTGTTTTCTAAATCTGGACTTTTATTTTTCATTCAAATAATTGTACTTTTATTTTTCATTCAAATAATTAATGGCATTCCTTCCTTAATGCAACTGTTTGCTACAAGAAAGTACAGAATATGACATCTCTGCTGGCAGGGGAAGTGCAAACTCAGTGTTTAATAGAAAGGAGAGTTACGTGATGTTCAGAAGTCCAAGGCTGCTGATTAGTTTGTTAGATTATGAAGGTTGTYTTAGATCAACTTCTTTAGAAGCAGAGTCAGGGTCCAGGATTCTTAATGCAAGAGATTTAGGGCATGCACTCGAGAGAATATTGTAAGGAAGTTTTAGTACCACTGTTGAAGTTCTGGCACTGCACTTTATGAACTTTTGAAACTTAGGAAGCAGCTCAGCTCCTTTGAGCTTCAGTTTGAGACATGTAAAATCCAGGTATTATCTCAACCTCCTTTATAGAGTTGTAAGAGTCAAATGGAATATGATGTATTGGAGATGTTTTATATAACAAAGTGTGATTCACATGTACAGTATTATTTTCATGTTCTGGGGTGGCCCAGACTTAGGGGCTGCACCCTCACTCTTCTTTTCTTCAGGAAACACATTCTTCAGTCACTGAGTTTGAGTACCAATGGGTTACTTACCTGGATGTAGAAATTTTTCAGCCTCCTAACTATAAATATGAAGGCAGCCAATACAGTATTTGCATTTCCTTAATAACATATCATTTCAGAAATTTAGATTTGTGTTATGATTATTTTCTGGATTTGTCCTGTAATCCCTATTAATTTGTAGGTTTGTAAAAGGGAGATGCATTTCATATACTTCTGTGTTTCATTTATGCTGCCTGCCACAGAATCTTGCACAGGATAGATATTGAATACTTACCTAGTGAATGTGTAGTTATTAAGACCAAGAAGCTACTAGCTTCTCTAGGACCAGAACACTTAATCTGTGCACAAAGCTCAGATCTTTAAGCTGTATCTTAACTACAGAGGGACAAGATAAAATGGGATATTAGAACTATCCAGGGATGTTGCTTTATGTGAAGAGTACCTAGTTTTAAAAAGAACATGATATAGAGACCTCTTCTAGATCTTCCTTTAACTGATAACAGCAGTGAAACAATCCTGTTGGAAAACAATATATATTACTGAAGTATGAAAAAGCAACTTGAAAGAGAAAAAGATGATATATAAAGATTAGAAATTATATTTAGATGTAGAAGAAAGCGTTGGATTGAGGAATTAACAATAAAGCAGTATAGCAGTAATGAACTAATTCTTTACCTGGTTATAATTAAGAGTTTATAATTTATCCCTAATAATATTGTTTGATAAAAAATATTTGTATTAACCCAGTTTATAAGAATTTTCACTTAGAAAATGACTTCCAAGATGAATTATATAATTACTAAGAACTGTATGTTTTGTATTTCTGTGTGCTTAGGATCATTTCACTTCTCCAGATGAGTACGATGACCCTACTGTGCTCTATGAAGCCATTGTGTCTCATGAAAAGAACCTCGTGATAGCCCATGAAGGGGATCCTGCGTGGCGGAGTGCAGTTCTTGCCAACTCTCCCTCCTTGCTTGCTTTGCGGCATGTCATGGATGATGGCACCAATGAATATAAAATCATCATGCTCAATAGGCGCTACCTAAGCTTTAGGGTCATTAAAGTAAGTTTCGAGTCATTGATTGAATTWAAAAAAAAAAAAAAACACAAATGGGTAACTTGAACCCAACTTTTAAGATGCGAGTGGGATTTTTATATATATGTATATATAAATTTAGCATACTGTGTTAGCACTTACTATTTATGAGCACTTAATTTAACTTTTCTTGTCAATAACTTTCTCTGTCCTAAAATTTTTCTTTTGCGTTATAAAGCCTTAGAATTTTTCCGATTTCAGTGTTGATAGTCCTATATTCATTATACAGCAGGTCTTTTTATATTTTATACATCGATCTGGGCAGCATCTCTTAATCAGTCTGCACCATATTGTTAATTTCAGTTCCTAGATTACAAAATTATTGTATAGCTAAATAGTGATTAGAAGCTAACTGTAAATGGTTCACTCTTTTTCCGTGTGTGTGTGTGTGTGTGTGTGTGTGTATGTGTGTGTGTGTTTAGACATCTCAGGGCTATAGGAGGAGCCTTACTTTCTGACATTTTGGTAGTTTGGAATGATTAATTTTTATCTATCATTTAATCAATACCCGAATATCATGAACACCCTTTCAACTTGAAATGTATGTTACCTTTCATTTCTATCAAAGATACATTTTATGTTCACTAAATTCAGTCTTTGACCAATTAAAAAGAAACTAAATGAACATTTTATTTGATAACATCTGTGAGACAGAAAAAGTGCTCTGTAGGTGCTTTTTATTAACAGTCTATTAATAACAAAGGAAAACTGGTTAATTTCTATTCAAATGTTATCTACTCGTGTTTGTTTCAGACTTTTCATAGTAGGTTGGCATTCTCTCTTTTGTATCCCTCCCATTTCTGCTGTTTGTCTGAATCGTATTCTTGGCCCCTAACTTGATCCACATGTTCTGGTTTCCAGGTGAACAAGGAGTGTGTCCGAGGTCTTTGGGCCGGGCAACAGCAGGAGCTTGTTTTTCTGCGAAATCGTAACCCAGAGAGAGGTAGCATCCAGAATGCAAAGCAAGCTCTACGAAACATGATAAACTCATCTTGTGACCAACCTATTGGCTACCCAATCTTTGTCTCACCCCTGACAACTTCTTACTCTGATAGCCATGAACAGCTTAAAGAAATTCTTGGGGGACCTATCAGCTTGGGAAATATCAGAAACTTCATAGTGTCAACCTGGCATAGGTAAGCCATGGGGTTGTATTTTTCTGTGGTGGTATATCCTGACCCTCATTATCTAGACAGTGTGCATTTGCTTTTCTTGGGAAGTTTGTAGAAAAAAAAAAAAATGTAGATGCCCTGGCACAATGTAATTCTATTATATGTAAACTTTAGTAGATCTCAGCACTTTTATCTTCAAAATCTTATTAGATAAATCTAATATGTAACTGGTTAAGAATCGCTGATCTAGTGTTTGAACCTTGAATGATCCTTTAATTTTTTTTTAAATTCTGTTGCCATATGTTGCCACTAATCAGACAGCAAAGGGGACTAATTAAAAGAAAACATTGAAGAAACTTGCAAGTTGACTGCTTTGTTATCACTCTATTCTAGCAGTAGGGGGAGCACTCTTTACAAGTTGAAACTCAGTGGTCATGAGATGCAGAAACTCTGCTGCTTTTTTAACAATCCAGTCACTGCCGGAATCTCAGTTTTCTAGTGTGCTCAAGGGTGCATGTGAATTTTCTCTCTGCCCTTTGAGTAGTAAATTATACTATACGGTATAGGTGCATCATAGTTTGGTGGATGGTAAAGATATGCTGCAGAACATTGTTTTCAGTTTCTCAACAGTTGTTCATATTCTTAATATCAGAGTTTAAGGAAAACAGGATCTTGTGGTTAGATCAGGAAACTCTTAAATGAATTTTTAAAAATTTTCCAGGAAGTATCCAGTGCTCAAAGAGCAAAGTTCTGCCATTTTAACATTGGTCCCTGTCCAAACAGAAGACGGAACATAGAAATCCAGGATAGTGTTCAAAGAAATTTTCTCTTTAAAAATTGCCTGTTGTGCTGGAATTAACCTTGAAGAAGTTAAGCTCTTTCCCCCTAAGAGCAATACCACAGAGACAGTGTCACCAGCTGTTCTGATCTACCCAAGACTGAGAGCTTTCTAGGAATGCAGAACTTTCACTGCCAGTAAGAGACAATCATGGCCAACCATGACATTTAAACATTAAAACAAAACAAAACAAAAAAAGGAAAAATGGTTACAGCATCTTTCTTGAAGTATGCTACAGTAGCAGGTTTTCAGGGGTTGCACACTTCAGGGATCAGTGAACAGACATTGCCAAGAGTTCTGTTTCCAGCTAGGTGTGGTGGTGAATACCTGTTATCTCAGCAGAAGCAAGGGGCTAAGCAACTCAGTGAGACCCTGTTTCTAAATAAAATACAAAATAGGGCTGGGGATGCATCTTAGTGGTCAAATGCCCTGAGATCAATCCCTGGTACCCGCCCCCCCCCCCAAAAAAAAAGTTGTTTCTAGTTAAGATCCTTTTTTTTTTTTTTTTTTTTGTACCAGGGATTGAATTCAGGGGACATTTGACCACTAAGCCATATTCTCAACCCTATTTTGTAATTTATTTAGAGACAGGGTCTCTCTGAGTTGCTTAGTGTCTTGCTGTTGCTGAGGCTGGCTTTGAACTCCTGAGCCGCTGGGATTACAGCATGCATTACTGTGCCCAATTCTAGTTAAGATCTTAATGGTGCAACTGTGTCTTCATTATGGTTAGCAAAGATGATAAAGGATATAAAAATGAAGAAGACTGGAAAGATTTGAGGCATTGAGCAAAAGAGGGATAGAGTACTTAAGCCACTCTTAGAAAACAGATTTTTATTCCTATTATTGCTTACATCATAGACTTTTAAAGGTGGGTCAGACAAGATGATGCACGATGTAAAGCCAGTCACTCTGGAGACTGAGGTAGAAGCAACCCAAGTTCCAGGTGAGCCTGGGCACTTAGTGAGACCCTGTCTCAAAATAAAATAAACAGAGCTGGGGGTGTAGCTTAGTAGTGCAGAGCTTTTCTAGCATGCATAAGACCCTGGTTTCAGTACCCAGTAATGTCAAAAAAAAAAAAAAAAAAGACTTTGAAGGCTCAGAATATACCTGGAAAAATAATAATGAATTTATATTTTGAAGTAATCTTGGGATAATGCTTCCAACTCTGGTATTTTATCCTAGACTAAGGAAAGGTTGTGGAGCCGGATGTAACAGTGGTGGCAATATTGAAGATTCTGATACTGGAGGTGGAACTTCCTGTGTGGGTAATAATGCAACAACTGCCAATGATCCCCACAGCAATATGTCCCAAGGAAGCTCTGGAAATCCTGGGCAGGGATCAGGAACTGGACTTCATCCACCTGCTACATCTTACCCTCCAACTCTAGGTAATATGAGGAAAGTTTTTGTGTAATATGAACTTTTTAGCCACGGGGGCCAGTTAATGTGTGTAGAAAGAAGAATTGTCTACTTGGAAATAGATCAGTAGATCTATTGCTTGACACTTAACTGTACATTAGCCCAGGTTTATATTAATAATTTATATATGTAAAATCGTGACATATAAATATATATTTACTTTATTTGATATAAACATTTTATACCCAGGGCCTCACATGCGTCAGGCAAGTGCTCTACCACTGAGCCACAACCCCAGCCCCGAAAATTAGAAACTTTTAATGTGCTTCTTTAAATGTGCCTTTTACTTTTAACATTGATTATTAGCTCTTTTTATTTTCAGGTATAAAGTACCCATAGCTAAGTTTTGAGTATAACTAATGATTATTTCCTAATACTCTTCACATTACTCTTATGAGTCAGGAAAAAGACAAGTCTGCACCATGTCAAGCCACTTGAGAAAGGATATGGAAAAGCCTGCTATTCACTGTCACTGATAATTTGTATTCAGTGGTAATCCCTTAATCAGGGTAGGATTCACTTCTCTCTAGAGGCAGTTGCTTGTTGGAATAGAAGAAAGGACATTAATATACTTGGAGAAATAGTATCTATAGAGCTTGCCACATACCAGGGCCTTCATAAGCATTTGTCTTTTTCTAATCACCAAAAAGATTATATATATTAGTGGTACATAATGTGATGCTTTGATATGTGAATACATTTGTGAAATGATTGAATCAAGCTAGTTAACATACCCATCACCTCATACTAACCATTTTTTTGTGGTAAGAACATTTTAGATGTGCTCATTCAGCAATTTTCAAGCATACAGCACATTATTACTAACTGTCGTCACCATGCTGTGCACATCTCCAGATCTACTAAAACTGTTTAACTGAAACTTTGTACTCTTTGACCAGCATCTCCCCATTTCTTCTCTCCCTTCCCCTGGCAACAACTATTCTGTTCTGTTTCTGAGTTTGACTTTTTTAGATTCCACTTATACATACAAGTGAGATTATGCAGTTTTTATATATATATTTCTGACTGTCTTGTTTCTGTGAAATATTTCATTTCTGATGTATTAAGGAAATATTCTTAAGAAATATTTCTGTGAAAGATAGTTTAGGATTTATCCCAACTCTGACATTTGCTGTAAGTTATTTAGGTCTCTCTTTCTGGTAACTAAAAAGTTTTTACCAAGTAAATTTACCAAGTAATGAGGGAGAAAGTCTTGGAAACTGCAGCATGAAAGTACCTTGTATTACTTCTTGCACTTCCAGTGAGGGTTGTCCTTGTTATTCCCGCAGGCACTAGCCACAGTGCTCACTCTGTGCAGTCGAGCCTTGTCAGACAGTCCCCTGCTCGGGCCTCTGTAGCCAGCCAGTCTTCCTACTGCTACAGCAGCCGGCATTCATCTCTCAGGATGTCCACCACAGGATTTGTGCCTTGTCGGCGCTCTTCCACCAGCCAGATATCACTTCGAAACTTGCCATCATCCATCCAGTCCCGCCTTTCTATGGTGAACCAGATGGAGCCCTCCGGTCAGAGTGGGATGGCTTGTGTACAGCATGGCCTTCCTTCTTCAAGCAGCTCCAGCCAAAGCATCCCCGCCTGCAAACACCACACTCTCGTGGGCTTTCTTGGGACAGAGGGGAGTCAGAGCAGTGCCACGGATGCCCAGCCAGGCAACACCTTAAGTCCTGCAAATAATTCGAATGCCAAGAAGGGGGAAGTGATTTACAGAGTCCAAGTGAGTAAGCCCAGAGGTCTTCCTTTCTGTTGCTCTTTTTGTTTTTATGTCTTATTTGTTGAGTGAAGAACTTTCATAAAAGTATATCTTCTAGARTATTTAGTCAGAAGATTAAAGCACTTTTGAATGAATGTTGAAAAAAAAGTTTCTACCAACTTAAAAATGGATGTCAAGCAGTTGCAATATTTGTTCCCCATTCAGCATTGACCCAGCCACTGCAGTAGGCTGAAAAGAATTGGGGACGTGGTTTTTTTAGAAATTTTTTCCATTGTAATGAGCAGAGAACTTAAAATATATAGAGTCCCCTGAAAGAAATTTTATTTGGAATTGGAGTATTTTTCATCAAGAGAAAATGAATTGTAAATGATCCTTGTTCATTTAAAATATAGATTGTGGATCCCACCCAAATTCTGGAAGGGATCAACCTGTCAAAAAGGAAAGAGCTACAGTGGCCTGATGAGGGAATTCGATTAAAAGCTGGGAGAAACAGCTGGAAAGACTGGAGTCCTCAGGAGGGCATGGAAGGCCATGTAAGTCTTCTTTTGAAGATGCCTGGTTCTCCAGCATTTTTTTTTTTTTTTTTTTTTTTGTAGTGCAACTTGTATGCATGGTTTGGGTTGGCTTATGTCTTTGAACTTGATTCTCAACAAAATGTTCTCTCTGCTCCCAAAGGAAAGAGTAGGTGAGTACATTCAGCAACTCCACCACTGACTGTTTCTTTTGTTCTGAGTCTTTAGGTGATTCACCGATGGGCACCTTGCAGCAGAGACCCAGGTACGAGATCCCACATCGACAAGGCAGTGCTTCTGGTCCAGATTGATGATAAATACGTGACTGTGATTGAAACTGGGGTACTAGAACTTGGGGCTGAAGTTTGAGCTTGTGTTTTGTAGCCAAATTTCTTTTCCCTCTCACTTCCAAAACCTTGGAAAAAGAGGAGCTTCCAGAAGATGGCCACAGAATCACTTTGATCCTGTATGGGAGAGACTGGTGAATAGTGGCATGGTTCTGCACCTCCCCGGGGCTTCACCCTGGCTCTTGTCATTGTCTCCATTCCCAAATAAAGCTGAAATATTTTTTTAAGTTAACCACAAGAAAACATTTTGCATGGAGGATAAAGTTCTGTTAAAATACATCTTTAAAAAGTTTTTCCTATGCATTGCCTATGCTTTAAATCAAAAAACTCTTAATTTCTAAACTATGATTTCATATTTTTCTAATTTCTTTGCCAAAAAGAATTGCCATGTGTTGTTATGGAACACAAAATCCATTGACCTTGATTTTCACAAAAGACCCTTGTGGAAGCGTTCGGTTTGACACTTAGCAGTATAAAAATTAAATGTACAGTGAGAGAGACGATGAACAGACATAGATTTATCTTCTTATTCCTCGAGCGCTAAAAACTTTAATGAAAGAAAACTGCACTAATTTTTTACAACAATGCACTAAATTCTGAGATTTCTCAGAACATTTATTTATATATATAAAATAAAACACCATTATTTAAATTGCCTTTGGGATTAACCCTTCCTTTCCTGATAAACATAGTTGGCAGGAACTGTGCTGCTCATTTTTCTGTTGATAGTCTGTATACTTCATGCCAGTATGTTGGATGTGTTCTCTAAGATGAATACAAAATCTCAAGATACATATAGCTTCATCTTGACACTTCCTGGAGCTAGTGGTCAGTGGATCGGTCATGTGAACACTACTGCCAGCTACTGTGTCCACATCTTGGATGAGGCCCTTGAAGTATGTGCTCACCTGCCTCCCTGCTCAGGGCATGCTTTGCCCAGGTCAGTTCTGGGAAGAAAATGCTTTTGCTTTTCAAAGAAGAAGATGAATGTCCAGGAATTCAAAGAAAGAACTGATTGCCTTTTCTTTTAAGAGTCCCTAGCTCTTGAAGTTATTCACGTGAAGTTCAGTTTCTCAAGTAAAATTTTTTTTCAAACAAAATTATCCAAATGGTGCAGTTCTTATTGTTGTATCCCTCTTTAATAACTTTGCTTTTAATTTCCCCCTCTTCTTTTTCTATTACTTGAATTTTATTTCCTGTAACTTATATTGTATGCTTGTAATTTGAAATATTTATAACTGTGAAATTGACTTAATTCATATGTTGTCTCATAAATTATATCAGTTTTTAAAATATGTATTCAGGGAAATATATAACTCAGATTTACAATTGGGCTATGTGGGACTGCAACTTAGATTTAATTTGCAACTTTCAATGTTTTTTAAATTAAAAATTCCCTTCAATTTGAAACTCCAAAGAAAATTGTACATCTACTCTGAGCATTTGGGAGCAGCCATCTTTCTACCCATTGGGAATAGACAGTTTTAAAAAAAAAAGTAAAATTAACTTTGGTACATTTTATTTAATTCAGTATGCCCAGGCTATTAGCATTTCAACCTGTGGCATGCACTGACCATATTTCACATACTCAGTAGCTATGTGCCTGGTGGCTGTTGTGTTGGACTACACAGGTTTATAGTATCTTTTGATAAGATGACAGAAGATAACTGTTTTTCCTACTAGTTCTATTGTGTTGATACCACAGTATAGCATAACATTGCAGTAGAGGAAATGAAAACTAATAGCTGATATAAAGAATCTTGACATTTCCACTCAAAACCTTCTTATTTTCCTTTTTTGTAATTTTAAAATCTCTGGTCATTCAGAACCCAATGTGCCTTGTGTTAACATTTCCATAGACTTCATACTTTGCAAATGTTATTGTCTAAAAATATTTGTCACATGATTTACTGAAGTTTTACACAAAGGAACCCTTCTAAATTGACCATTGAAAATGTATATTTTCCTGATAGTGTCATTATGTTGTATATTTGCCTCATTTTGGCAAATCTGTGGTATAGCATAAGTTCAGTATTTTTTTTTCTGAAACTGAATATATGATATATCTAATTTTTAAATCTTCTTAAACGGATTATGCTCCCTCCTGCTTGCTCCCTCTCTAAAATTAATATGATTTATTCATGGTCATTGCCTAGATAGACAAGTGGACTTTTCAGTCTTAGATGGAAGATAATCCATTTTCCACACAAAGAGGAACAAAATAATCTCAATTTCAGATGATTCCATCAGAAGGGCTAGAATTCTTTTTATTCCTAGCCATCACTGTTCACCACCACCCCTCCCCTCATTGATATATTAGATACTCTGAAAATTTAGATTTCAAATGCAAAACTGGATTTTGTATGAAACATATATTGAGTCTTAATTTGGGATAGCAGTTGGTGGACATTTTTCTTGAAACAAGTTGGATTTTGTTATAACTCTTTACTAAATTTATATATAAGGAGCCCTAAGAGAAGCCATGTTCTTATATTTTAAATCTAAAATTGATAAAGCCTTTTAAAAATCATAACACTTTTCTAATTACTTCAGGGGAAATAGTAAAAATTGAAGAAAGACTTGTGTCTTAATAATCTGATCTAAATTAATGAAAGTATATATTTCTATATAATAAATTGACTATAAATGTCTTATTCCTGTCCCCTCTTCTTCCAGACAATAGTGAGCTATTGGTTTAAATTCTCTGCTTAACCTTTTTCATTAATGTACAGGGCTTAAACATACAYTAGTGTTTTTAATTCGTTATCACCAAAACTTTCAGAGTTTCATAATTTGAAAGCAAAGAGATGTGATTAAAATACTAGTGTTTTTTTTTTAATTTCCTTAGAGTAGAATTGCATGATTGAAGTCTTTGGTTTTTTTTGTTTGTTTGTTTGATTTTTATCTCCCTTTTGAAAGTATAATACTGGAATGAGTTGTAAGTTGTTGTCTTTTTAAGTTTTTTTTCCTCTTATTTAGTGACAAAAAAAATATTTGTATTACTACAAATTAAGCTTTAGTTTACCTTCCACATTTTACCTTGGTGTGAGTTCTTTATACCATTTTCAATATTTGATAAAACTTTAAATGTTGACTTTTTTTGCTAAAGAGCTTTAATTTTACCAAGAATCTAGGTTAACATAAGATGTTGATATTTATGGAGTTTGGGAGAGTCCTCATGAGGCTGGTGAGATTATTAATTTTTAAGGTGAGATTATCTTTTAGGAAATTAGTGAGCAGACTTTTTTAATTTAGTGTTTTGCCTTCTTTGGGCCTGTATTACTGGAGGATTACATTCCATTAGATTTGAAGTATTTTGAAAAATATTTCAATGATATCTGAAACATTTCTAATCTTGAAACAGAAGATATCAGACAATATTTCTATTATGAAGGATATATGGAAAATTCTTGGGCACCAAATGTCAGCCAAGGAAAATACAAGTTTTCATATAGGAAACTGTAGCTTATTAAGAAAATGTATTATTCCTTCTGGATTAGTTTATTTTTCCATCTCCTATCAAAATATAAATCACAGCTTCACATCTAAGTGAGGGTTCTCAGCCTGAATAAATCCCACTTTGCTTTAAACAGCATCCTCCACTTATGCTTAGAAGCTCATCTGCTATATTGAGCTGTTCATCTAGAACTGGGTATTTTCAAACCTAAGACTTTGTCCAGTATCTAAAATTGTCTTTTAATTTAAGCTAACTTTAAAGCATTCTTAGTTCTAAACAAATATGTGACTTGAGGAAAAAATAGTAGTAGATTTATGTAAGATTTTTTTGACTTTATGTTTACTAGCTACAAAACATAAACTGCTTCCCAGACTATTTATTTATTTATTTATTTTGCAGTGCTGGGGATGGAACCCAGGGCCTTGTGCATGCAAGGCAAGCACTCTACCAACTAAAGTATATCCCCAGCACCCCAGACTGTTTTTTAATTTTATTTTTGTTTTAATTATTTTTTTATGAATATAAATTAATCCCTTTCTGATATTTCTTAGGTTTTTTAATGGGGGGAGGGGGGGGCGGGCGGGGAGTACCAGGGATTGAACTCAGGAGCACTCAATCACTGAGCCACATCCCTAGCCCTATTTTGTATTTTATTAGAGACAGGGTATCACTGAGTTTCTTAGTTTCTCTATATTGCTGAGGCTGGCTTTGAACTCACGATCCTCCTGCGTCTGCCTCCCAAGCTGCTGGGATTATATGTGTGTGCCACCACACCTAGCCTCTTAGTTGTTTTTTAAATTCCTCTGTATTCATTCTCATTTTCTTTTACATTATGGTGTAAAATAATCATATAAAATTACTTTAGACACAGACCCAGTTAATTTTTTTTCTTTTGATATGCTACATATCAAATAAGGCATAAAATATCCCTTTTAATTTTAGACAGTTTTCCTTTAACTCTTAAGATGAGTAGAAAGAATAATGTCAATCAAGGTACCTAGAACCTGTTAGTGGACTTTGAATTTTCTTTTTCAAATTTATGTGGACACTGAATTTTATTGATCAAGAGAAAAAGGAAAATTAGATACTACCATGTACTTAGCATAAATTTTAATATTACACTGAATATGTGTAGGGTTTTTTAAATATTTAAAAACTAGCCCCTTTTTTCTTCATTTCTCTTAAGACTAGATTAGTTGATAAACACCCAGGACTTCTTTTAATCTTATTAAATGTTTAGGTAAGAGCTGTAATTGGAAAGGAATTATTATAAAATAGATCTGTTAGAATATGAATAGAGTATTAATTTTGCTTGAAACAGAGGTATATTTTCTGCTATGAATCACTTCACCAGTCATCTATCAAGAATTATGTGTGTAAGAATTTCTCTTTATTGCCTATATGCCACATGTTATTTCTGAATTATTATTCATTTGTGAGCTGAATTTCATTACCTGCCATTTTGTGGAATCAACACTCTGGAGAAACTAGAGCTGATTGTCACTGCAAGGTCACATGACAACTTTGTCCTAAGACTTATACCTATTATATAGGGTCTTACCATTTTCTTACGCCTCAGCTCTGTACCTGACCTTTTATGATTCAGTGGAGCCAAGCTAGAAGCAGCAAAGGTCATGTGACATGTGATGAGGATGAATTCCTGGGTGTTGCCTGCAGAGATGAGGTGATGCCCTGGAAGTCAGAACAGAGAGCTGACAGAGAATGAGATGGCTGCTCCAGATGACTCTCGGGTTTAGTGTACTTGTAGTTGAACAAGATTTTTTTATATATGAAGCTTGATTATACAACCAAAATAATGAAAATGGGTGGGGTCATATCTGCTTATGCTTTTTAAAAGCTTATAGTTTAAGTAAAATTAAATTGTAAAAATCAGTTACGTTAACCCT